CATGTGCAACATAATTAACTACCTACCACACATGGGACATAGCATCTGATGTTGAAACTAACCAAAACTTAATGGGAAACAGCGGACCAGCTAATAGCTATAGCTCTCATCCATCGTTGTTTCAAAGGCAAAAACAAAAACCCTAAACTTGAAATGCATCGTAGGTATGTTTTCGTTTTTTTAGGATGGATGTCTGACAAGACATAATGTTTTTTATTCGAAAAATGCAGTGATTATTATTAATTGTCAACAAATTGTGCAGTTTCGATCCAAAGATACTTTGAAGTATCAATATTCGACAAAAAACTCGCACGTAGCAGTGCCACCTCAACTGATTAGATGTGTTGTTTCAACCCGTAGTTAAAATGAGGTGAAAATGATTTACTGCCAAGATTTTTAAAGACAAAACGTTCAACTTATACCTGAGCGACCATTCAAAACCATCTACGGGCAACAAGACAAGAACTCAAAGATTTTGGAGGAATTGAACTCTTGAGTGGAAGGTGATATTCTAATTCCTTGAGAACTAGCCCATGAGAAATTCAAATTTTTATTTATTTATATCCATTATATCCAAAGCTCATTCGTTCAATTCATCTTAACCCGATTGCATATTAGTAAACATGCTATTAAATGAATGAGATTTAAAGTTCTAGAATTTATAAATAATGCAACTTTAATTGCACTTACATCTCTCACTAGTAAAAAATCACCCTTGCCCGACCACATTTTGCGAGACGAAAAATTATTCATCGCACAAAGTCACTTTGCGCGACAAATTGTTTTTTATCGCACAAAGTGATTTTGCGTGACGACAATACATCGTCACGCAAAGTCTTGAGCGACCAAATTTTGCGCGACGAAAAACAATTCGTCACTCAAAGTCACTTTGTTCGATGAAAAACAATTCGTCACACAAAGAACTTTGCGGGATGAAAAGCAATTCATCACGCAAAGTGACTTTGCGCGACAAAACAATAAACTTCGTCGCGCAAAGTCCTTATAAAAATAAATAAAATAAAATAAAATTTCTTTTTTTAAATTTTTTTGTTAGAAAATATATTTTTTAAATCGACGATCGAATTAGTTCATTGTATTCATATAGGGTCAAAGAGTGTAGCTGTAAAAAATCATCAAAATCGGAGTTAAAATAACCGTTAAATCATGAATTTTCATTTATAACCGTCGAAAAGCTTTGTCCCATTATTTGATCTCTGAATGTTTATTTTTTCCAATTTTTGGCATATATGATCTCGAAATATAAACAAAGAAGTTTGACGATTGGATCGTTGAAACTAGTTTCGTAGAATGCATATGCCATCAAAACAATATATTCACTAACAATTAAGAGTTTGTTTATACTTTTGTTAAATATAACATAAGATTTAATGGTATCCACTAGTGTAAATATTTTAAATTGACGATCGAATTAGTCCATTGTATTCATATAGGGTCAAGTAGTGTATCTGTAAAAAAATGATCAAAATCGGAGTTAAAATAACCGTTAAATCGTGATTTTTCATTTATAACCGTCGAAAAGTTTTGTCCCGTTACTTGATCTCTGAATGTTTTTTTTTTCCGATTTTTGGTGTATATGATCTCAAAGTATAAACAAACAAGTTTGACAGTTGGATCATTGAAACTAGTTTCGTAGAATGCGTATGCCATCAAAACAATATATTCACTAACAATTAAGAGTTTATTTATACTTTTGTTAAATATAACATAAGATTTTGTGGTATCCACTTGTGTAAATATTTTAAATTGATGATTGAATTAGTTCATTATATTCATATATGGTCAAGGAGTGTAGCTCTAAAAAATCATCAAAATCGGAGTTAAAATAACCGTTAAATCGTGATTTTTCATTTATAACCGTTGAAATTTTTTGTCCCGTTACTAGGTCTCTAAATGTTTATTTTTTGCGATTTTTGGGGTATACGATCTTGAAGTATATACAAACAAGTCTGACGGTTGGGTCGTTGAATGGTTTGTGTATATATATATATTTATTTACTTATTAAGTAGCTTTAAATTTATTTATTTTGTACGTATAACAATTAAGAAATTGAATAGTATATACATTTATTAAGTAGCTTTAACCTTATTTATATTTTAAATCGTCAAATAAAATAATTTTATTTTTTATTACTCATAGCAATTATTTTTATAAATATCGTGCTACGAACCAATTTTTTGTCTCACAAAAGTTCGCGCGACCAACAGTTCGCCACGCAAAACTCTAAAAATTTGGGCGGGTACAAAAAATGGGACGCGGGATTTTTTTTTAAAAAAAAATTAGAATTTGCGCGACCAATATATATTTTTCGTCACGCAAAAATTTGGCCTGGTACTAAAAATGGGACGCGGGAATTTTTTTAGACTTTGAACGACCAATATGTATTTTTCGTCGCGCAAAATTTTCAAAATTTGGGCGGGTACCAAAAACGGGAAGCAGGGATTTTTTATTATTTTTTACTTTGCCCGACCAATATGTTTCGTCACGCAAAACTTTGAGTGACCAATATTCCAATATTTTTCATTGCGCAAAAATTTCAAAATTTGGGCGGGTACCAAAAATGGGATGCGGAATTTTTTGTTTGTTTTTTACTTTGCGCGACCAATATGTTTCGTCGCGCAAAACTTTGCGCGACCAATATTCCAATATTTTTCGTCGCACAAAAATTTCAAAATTTGGGTGGGTACGAAAAATGGGACGAGGGGATTTGTTTTTTTTTTTGACTTTGTGCGACCAATATTTTTCGTCGCTCAAAACTTTGAGCGACCAATATTCCAATATTTTTCGTCGCTAAAAAATTTCAAAATTTGGGCGGGTACCAAAAATGGGAAGCTGAGATTTTTTTATTTTTTGACTTTGCGCGATCAATATTTTACGTTGCGCAAAATTTCAAAATTTGGGCGGGTACCAAAAATGGGACGCGGGATTTTTTATTTATTTTTTGACTTTGCGCGACCAATATACTGTTATTCGTCGCGCAAAACTTTGCGCGACCAATATTCCAGTATTCGTCGCGCAAAACTTCGCGCAACAAATATGTTTCGTCGCGCAAAACATTGAGCGACCAATAATCCAATATTTTTGTCGTGCAAAGTGATACGGTTTTTAAAATGAAAATAACTCCTCCACCATTTTCTCAATGTCTTTCTCTTACCTCTCCTCTCTCTTTCCCTCTCCCCAAATCCCACCATTTCTCTCACACTCACTCTTCTCACTTAATGTCTCATCATCTCTCTCTTCACTCTCTCATCTCTCTTTTCACTATCTCTCACTCTCACTCACTCTCTTATCTCTCTATCACTATCTTCTCTAATTCTCTCCCACTCACTTCTCTCTCTCATTCTCACTCACTCTCAATCTTGCCAAAAGGTATATTCTCTCCAAATTTTAAATTTTTTTCATTAATATGTGTTTTTGGAGTTAGTTTTGAGTTTGTGCGGGGATGGATTGGAGTTTGGGTTGGATTTGTGGTATAACAATTTTAGGGGAGATTATCCCTTTTTTTGTTTGTTTGTTGTTATTTTTTTTTTTTTGTAGGGAATCATCAAGACTTTGACGGCTAAAGTTGAGGATTAGGAAGCTATCAAAACATATCCTCCGCCACTACCACCACAATACGCTTGTATTAGGATTTTATTATTGGACTTTGTTAATTTATGTGTACATTTTGAATATTATATATATATATTTACTGGATAATTTGATCACTATTTTTCCTATGTAATTTTATTTTGAATATGTCAATTTAAATTAAAGTAATTAAAAAAATCATACAATTAAATTAAATTTAAAAAGTAAAAATTCGAAAAAATTAATATAATTAAATTAATATCAATTTAAATTAAAGTAACAAAAAAATCATACAATTAAATTAAATTTAAAAAGTAAAAATTTGAATAAATTAATATAATTAAATTAATATCAATTTAAATTAAAGTAACAAAAAAAATCATACAATTAAATTAAATTTAAAAAGTAAAAATTTGAAATAATTAATATTAAAATAATAATAAAACAAAAAGTCAAAAACCAAAATATTTCGTCACACAAATATTTGCCCGACATTAGTATTCATCGCGCAAAACTCTAAAAATTTGGGCAGGTACCAAAAATAGGATGCGGGAATATATATATTTTTTTAAATTTCATTGCGCAAAACTTTGCGCGACCAATGTTTTTCGTCGCGCAAAACTTTGAGCGACCAATATTTTTTCGTCGCGCAAAGTTGCTTTGCGAGACCAATATGTTTTGTCACGCAAAGTCACTTTGCACGACCAATATGTTTCGTTGCTCAAAGTCACTTTGCGGGACCAATATTTTTTCGTCGCCCAAAGTCCCTTTGCGCGACCAATGAAAAAATTTCGTCACGTAAAGTCTTTCTTCACGATCTTTGCGCGACGGATTCTGCGCGACGAAGTTTCTGTCGCGCTAAAATTTGTGCGACTACAATGTATTTTGCACAACGAAATTCTCTTCGTCGCGCAAAGTGTAAAATGTAGTAGTGTCTTTCATCATTTTCATCAACATCTAGGTTTGGATCAAGGAACTGTTACATATTTCCCTTTTTCAATAGCTTAAAGTGGCCTTTCGAGGAACTGCCCCTGGATCAAATTCCTCTTTCCACCAATGATCTTAAGGAAGACCATCACATAACTGTATACATCACTCTTCTCGGATATGGCATAATTGGTGATCCACTCTGGTGCAAGGTACCCTCTTGTGCCCCTCAGCGTCGTATGCCTCCCGGTTCATTAGCTTGGACAAACCAAAATCTGAAACTTTGGCAACAAAATTGTCATCAAGAAGAACATTTTCAGGTTTTATATCACAATGGACAATCTTTTCTTCACACTCTTCATGGAGATAAGCCAACCCCTTTGCTGTCCCCAAGGCAATACTGAATCTTGTATTCCAATCTAACGATTCATCCTTTTTTTTGTTCATGAATACCCATTTATCTAAAGACCCTTTACCCTTGTACTCATAAACAAGAAGTCTGTGAGGCCCTTCTGCACAGAAACCTCTGAAGCTTGACCAGATGGACATGACGAATTTTCCCAATAATAGTGAGTTCAGCTCTAAACTCTTTCTTCCCCTGGCCAACGCCCTCCAATTTTTTCACAGCCAGTTGGATGCCATCCGGAAGCACACCTAGGTAGACTGAACCAAACCCTCCTTGGCCAATTTTGTTGGAGAAATTTTTAGTTGCTCTGCTAAGATCGCCATAAGTGAAGCGAATAGGCATTCCAGAAAGACTGTCCAAGAACTTATCCTCTCCCGAGATTTCTTGGGAATATTCCAATAGTCTCATCCTGCAGTATTACTAGAATCCTACATATCTGAGTTCAAGAATCATGCCCCAAGAATGCTTCGAAAGGGTAGTGAAGCCTTAGGAAGCATCCTGGTTATCTTCACCAACAAAAACAACAACTACTTACAGGTAGATTCTTAGCTTGGCATGAGAGGCATGTGGCATGGGAGCAAAACAATCATGAGTTTAGCATAAACAAAGAGAGAGTTGTGAGTTCTTATGAAAGACAGGGGTTCTAAGAAAAGGGGGGGAAAGGATTCTAAGATGGCTTGTTGAAGAGCGAAAGAGATGGGAGAAATAATTGGTGTGTTGAGTAGTTTCCGATAGCCTGACAAAAACTTTGTTAGACTCTGGAATACTTTGCCATAAGAGAAAATGGAAGAGATGGAGGAATTGGGGCTTGAAATTACAGAGGTTTCTGGGATGAGAGATGAAGCTTGATCTCTGCATGTGGTTGTAGCTAGTAGTGAAGTAGTGGGTGTGGTTTGAGTGAATTTCCAGTTGCTTGACAAAGCTTGGTTTCACTTTGGATGATGATTTTGCTGTGTAGAAGAAGCTCCCTTTTATAGGCACTTAGAACCCTAATTCTATCAATCCTCCATTCCCACTTTTCCTTTGCCTCTTTCCATTCACTAATTTTTGGTGAAATTTCTTTTAACCAGAGCGGATGGGTCACAGGCTCTTTGGAGTTCAAAGGTTTTTGTGAGGCTGGACCTTCCATGGGAATGAGGTGCCACATGCTTTTCTTCTTGGTTTCCCTATTAGAGCTCGCAAGGGAAATGAGTATGGATAGAGCTTTTGCCTAATGGGTATTCCTCCTACACGTACGAATTTCCTTTGGTTTTGCGATGGCTTCATGTTGACTCTGCTGTGAAGCTTTGGCAAGGGTTGAACACAACGCTAGATATTTTATTAAGTATTGGGCTGGGCTTTTCCTAAGGTATTGGGTCATCTCTTCTAGAGTATTAGGCTTTTTTCTCTCCTTTATGCTTACCCACATATTTGGGCTCAAGAAATGGACTTGAGTTTTGGGGCTCCCAAGGAGCCCAAAACTTCCATTTCTCGGCTCATCAATAGGCCTAATAAAAGCTCGTTACCATCCATAACACAACCCACTCAAGCAAGCCCTGGACATTTTGCGTGATTTGGGCCCACTTAAGCTTGTAGTGTGGCTAGGTGTAATAATAATGATTTTCCACTTGGCATTGCATGTCACTTGGCGTGCTTGAATTTTGTCGCTTTGAAGAGGGATATGACACTTGATGGGATAATTAGCTTGGGCTCATAAAGCAAGTGCTTATTTCAACTCTATCTTAGCATGATAGATTGCATATTTATTTGGCATGACACGTGAATCATGACTCGTGCGAGCATGAATGACGAACTTTCGGGTGCTCCAAATCGGGTCTTTTCTTAATAAGGCATTGCGTTGGCCCGGGAATTTATTTGAGCCTAACCCTGAATTTTTGGGCCTCAACAAACCTAAAAAGCAAAAAAGTGTTTGGGAGGTTAACTCAAAATTAGAGATGATACTCCATAATATATATATTTTTTTCGCCAAATAAAAAAGAGATATGGTAATATCAAATTTACATCATGTGCGACATGCTGGTCCAACATGGTCTCAATTGCACTCAACCAACTCACCCGAGAAACAAACGCTGCCCCAAAAATAAGCCAACTTTTTGTTTTGATCCTCAAACTTCAAAGATGCCCATGGAAACATAGTCCAAAAGCCAAAACTACAACCTTATTATTGGCTTACCAAGAAGCAGATGACAAAGTTCGGAGTACAACATACAAAATGACAAGATCATGCTATGGATTTGGTCCGGTTGAAAGACAAACAGGTCGTAAACCTTCAAAATCCTCACATCATACACTGGTTCAAATTGTACTGCGTCCCAAGAGCTAGGCTTTGCTGCCAAAGTAATATTAAGGTCTTCTTGTTGGGTGTAGCTTTTTTTTTTCCTTACAGTGATACCAGTGGAAGTATATCCACTAGCAATTAGGATTGTCACTACTCATAAATGACATCCCACATACATTTGTTTTTAAAAAGCAGTAAATCTAAATAGCTCAACCTCTCTGTCATAATCCTTAGACCTTTGGTACTCGCCATGGCTGCAAAATTCAATGGTTTCGAGCTGAGTTGTTTTTCTTGTTGGGTGTAACTTTGCTTCTTAGGTTTTATGTGGGTTTTTAGTTTTGAGGGTATTTTAATCTATTTAACTGAGTTTTCTGCTATTTTTGAAAGTTTTTATAAAAACTGACATTTATGAAAGTAGGGGGCAAATTTTGGCTACTTTCGATAAAACTTATATTTTTGTATTTATTGGATCTTAGTGGGTTAAAATTTTCTAAGAACTAATTAGAAAATAACAAGTGGCTAGTTTTGAGTTTTTCTCTCCAAATAAGTTTATATGGGTATTTGTATAATATGTCATGCTAAAATAGGCTTATTTGTAAAAACCTAAAAAAAGAAGCTGAGTTTTTTTAAAACTGGTTTTAATTTTTATTTAAACCATTTTATTATTACCTATGATCTTCCTCACTTAGTCACCTCTCTCAACTTGTTATCTCCCTCTCTTTCTCTTTTTCTTTCACAAAAGGTCCTACATTTATCGTCTTTTTTTCTTCTTCTTACAGTGAGAGTTTGACTGTTGGCTGCACAATGCGTGAGTCTTTTGTGGGAAAGACTTCCCTGGAACAAGGATACCAGTTCAATGGTATGCCAAACAAATAGCAGCACGACAGCAGTCCATAATTTAGGAATTTGGAGGGCAGAGAGAGTGAGATTGGAGGGGTAGTTGTCCTTGTGTTACCATTGGGTTTGGATACCATTACCTGGCAAGGGAAGTTTTTCTCCACATGTGGCCCTTGAACTTTAAAAAAAAAAAATATTTTAGTCGTTCAACTCTCAAATTGTCTTTTAAATGTCTCTGAAACGTGTTCGATATTATTGGCAAAAGTAGAAAAATTTTAGGTTTTCTCTGAGACCTAAAAGTAGAGAAGTTAGGTAACTAGTGTTGGGGTCTGCCTCAACAACTAGGAAAACTTGTATCAGATATTAAATGCCTATCACAAGTCTCGATCGCTTTAAAAGGAGTCGTCTGCCCTGCATGGAAAGCAAACACTTGTGAAATATCTTTTGATGACCAAACTCCAGCCCACCTTCGAGAAAACTTAGTATGCAAACATGGACTTAGTCAAGTTGGTTAAAGTGGATGTGCTCTTTATTTTGCACTCGAGCTCGAATTTCCTTTTCCATTATTTAGATTGAATTAAAGTACAATATTACTTGTATTGGAAAATGTATAATATCCTTGTCATGCTAAGATCTACATTCACCACTGTTTCCACAAGCATAAACAAATACTTCTAGACGGCCTCGCTCCTCAATCAGATTGGGTTAATATTTAACTGTATTACGATCATCACATCACAAATAAATATAATATATCCAGAAGCCTTAATAATGCCTTTAGGTTTATATTTTTTGTTTTTTTTTTTTTTTTTTTTTTCATACAATTCTAATTTAGAGTGCTTGGTACAAAACTCAAGTGTAAGGGCCGAGTGCACTGGCAAGAGAAAATGGAATAGGCACCCAAAAGCCTACCAATCAAGTTTATCATTGTGTGGCTTAGCGTAAGAGTATCATTGATGTTACGCACTAATTCATAATATAATTTGGATAGCAAATTTGGGTTTTCCCCTTTAAATTCATAATATGATTTGTAAATATGTCATAATTTGTGAACACTTTGGCATCCAATTCAAAATTGGGTTTTATTTAAATGTAATAAAATAGGTGGGTTATTGTCTAGAGTATTTTAAATGTAACAAAATTGGGTCTACTTTGGTCAGACCCTAATTTGGATAAGTGACAAATTATGCTTTAGAATATAATATTTAATAAATATATACGAATTATAACACAAGTGAATTAATTATTTAACCACATATACTACAAGCACAAAGCTCAGTGATTTGTTAGGTTAACTCATGTCAACATATTTAACCATATACTGCTATCACATAAAGATAAGAGAGAAATAAAATTTTATTGTTTGTTACCCTAAACGGTCCGTTTAGGGATGCAATTTTGAATAGTACAACATAGATCCGATAGTGGTATTGAGTACCAATTTATAATACCTAGTACTACATACTAATTCCAGATATCGGACAATCTTTTTTCCCTTGCATGAATATTTCCCAAAGACCAAAGTCCTCCAAGCATGCCTCATTTTTAAACCCCATATTGTGGTGGACTGCCGCGAATGGTTTAGTGATACTAGTGCCATAATTTTCATTAAAATATTGCCCTACTGGTTCATGAAAGAAACAATCCATCAATGATGATCCATTGCTTGATATTGCAGATATTATCGGAGGCTCGAAATCACCAGCAAGATGATTACCAAATGAATTAACATGATCTTGTCCAAATAATTGATTAGTCGGCCCAAAGTCCTTATTATGACCTAATAATGTTGATGAAGCCGCAGAAATATCATTATTGTTATAAGGATGATAAGCTTGTTTGTGTAATTCTGAATCTCTCACATATCTGGCTTCTGCTTGAAGCCTGACACTTTCCCACTGAGCTATGTGGTTGAGGTTTGAGTCGGTCTTTGGGTCATCAGTTGAACCACTGGCGAAGCCAAAGATGATATTCTTAGGCTTGTGGGTTACAGGGTCATAGCCTTTCAAGGCCAGTCGTTTCTTGAGACGAGAGTGCCAGTAGTTCTTGACCTCATTGTCTGTTCTCTTTGGTAAGTGCGCAGTAATAGCCGACCACCTAGCTCATATACATGGAACACAATATCAGTATCATAATTAAAGTGAGTTTTTTTATAAAATAAAAAAAAAGTCCAAAATGACCCTAACAAAAGAGCAGCACATCCCAAACATACATATAATGTGTACACATATGCATATAGAATTGTTATGTATAATATATGGAGATTGTTTGGTACAGTTCAAAATTTCTCATATACCTGGTGCTTAATCGATATTATATTCTTGATTATAGATTAGTGTATGATATTAGGTAATGTAAATTGGTATAGCATGTAATAGTAACACCTTAGGTTCAATGGTGGAGCTAGAAATTCATAGAAAGCTCCATGACATCAGTTGGGGTCACAAATTTTACTGGATTGAGGTCCAAAAGACAACAAATATACACATATATAAGTTAAAATATTTTAAAATAATAAAAATAGGAGAAGGGGCCTGGGCACACCGTGGTCCTTAGGTGGCTATGCAACTGCTCGGCTTGTGATGACATGTGTTGAACTTTCATTAATAAACTACTAGGTTTGTCCAGGTTTTATAAGCAATTACATGGAGTCTCGTTATAGCCATTTTGATCGATATATCGTCATGAGATGGAGTATGGTTTCTTGAATCTTGGGCTTTTCAGGTATGTTTATGTATGCATGATGTCAAGCATGTTCTCCTCGACCTTGTAGTCAAAGAGAACGGGCTACATGGTGAGGAGAACGGACTTGACACCATACATGCATAAATATACCCCAATAGCCCAAGACTCAGAAAACCATACTCCACCTCTTGACGATACGTTGATAAAAATGGCTAAACACTCTCTAATAGATAGTATATTATGATGAAGTTTGGCAGAAAGAAAAATAAGAGAATTTAGAGTACTTGGGATGAGACATGAGAGTACTATCTAAAATGCATATATGCGTATAAATCAAAATATTGCATGTCATGCAATTACCTGTTGCCTAAAAGAGCATGAAGTTGAATGATGGTTTGGTCTTCCTGCAAACTGAAATTTCCCCTCTTAATATCAGGTCGTAGATAGTTTCTCCATCTTAGCCTGCAGCTCTTCCCGCATCTTTGAAGACCTATTATCATTATATATGTTTTATTTATTTATTTTTAAAACAGACCAAGTTCCAAAAAACCCTAGTCTGCAAAAAAACAAAAAACAAAAAAAAGAGGGGGCTCCAACCTAGCCCACCCACCAAGAACCACTCTTATTTCAATTTTATTTTCACTTATTATGGCTTATTTGATGGTGTTTTTGAGAAACAGAACTTGAAGTTGGGAAGGGTAAAATCTATAGCTATCTCCAAGTTATTAAAAATCGATTGATGAACAAAGCTGTATATTGGAGAATATCTAGTTTTAGGTTATGGTGGAGGGATGATTAGCGGGCTGCGGCGGGGTGAGGTGGAGGGCCAAATCGGAGAGAGAGAGAGAGAGAGAGAGAGAGAGAGAGAGGGATGAAGGGGGTCGGTGTGCTGGTGTTGGGTTGTCAGTAGGGATGGGGCTGGGGATAGGGAGCTATCAGGTGGTAGAGAAATAAAGAGCGAGAGATACAGCAGAGAGTTTCTAGGGAGGGAAGAAGAAGCTGTATTTTTCATTTATTAATTTTTCCATTTTGTATTGTTTTTTTTTTAAGAATTAATTTTTTAATAATTTGTTGACTAAATTACCCCTCCACACATAACAAAAGCTAAAATAATTTGACAGAAATTGAGGATTGTCCTTAAATTGCTTCAAATTGAAACTACAAGGACGAAAATGTTCAAATTGAAACTACAGGGACCAAAATGTTCAAATTGAAATCACAGAGTCTTTCATGGTAAAAGTGATAAACCACAAAGACCAAAAGTGACTTTTTGTCAAAAAAATATTTATTGACTGTGTCCAAATATGAGCTAACAAATATATGTTACCCAAAACTCCCGTAAAAAGAAATATATGTTACCCAAAACAGGCTGAGAAATTGTAATTGATTGGAAAGCTATGAAAGAAGAGTTAGTTATAGAAATTGACCAGCTCTCTGAGGCAAGGATTGCCAATTTCCATGACCATGTTTTTGAACGTAAGCTAAGAGCTTTTGGTCCTCTGCTGGAGTCCATAGACCTTTCTTCACGCCGGAGGACGCAACACAGTCATGAGTAGACTTTCCCATGTGTCTCTAAAAGAGTAGTTAAGAAGAGAAAGAAAAAAGGAACTTCAATGTACTAGTGAGAAGATTGTGAGAAGATTGACAGTAATAAGATTGAGAATACTACTTCAATGCGTGTACTAGTGAGAAGATTTTGAGAGTGAGAAGATTGAGAATACTACTTCAATGCGTGTACTAGTGAGAAGATTGAGAGTGATAAGATAGGCACGGACCACCCAAAATTGGACTGAAAGAATTTGATCCCTGCAACCGAGAATGATCACTATTTTATATTGGGACTAAAATAATATTACATGATACGACACCAACTTTTATTTATCAACTTTTACTCATCATATGACACGTCTTTTTACCGCTGTAATTCATTATTCAAATAAATTATCTGGACTCCCTCACTAGGATATCTAAAGTCTTTTTCAATCTCTGATGTAGACGACAGCCGTACTTGTGCTCCATCAAGGAAGGTACCACAGTACACTGTAAACCTGTATTTAATTTGTGTTGGTGAAAACCTGACGGATATATCAGAACTCTTTAATTGGTGGAAATCCCAGATTGTTTCTCATACAAACATTTCTAATAATAATATGTATTAAAATTGAATGTCTTCTTCTTTCTCTGAAAACCCTTCTCTCCTTGAAACTTTTCTTCTGAAAACAAGTGACCTACATTCATAAATAATATAATACAACGTAATTATTTCTTTGAAATTTCTTTCCTCCCCCTCCCCCTCCCCCGACTCTTCTCTCTCTCCTCTCTCCTCTTCCCCACACTCGGTAGAGTCTGTATCTCTCCCTCTCTCACTCTTCGCCTCAATATTTCCATTCGGATTTCCAGAATCCGAATGGAAATATTGCAATTTACATCATCAGCTATATTGCAATTTACATGTTTCTTTTTTTTTCTTTCCTTGTAATCATATTTAATTTTTTAGTTATTACTGTTAGTATCGTGAAAGGAAACTGGAGACTCCATTAGTATGAAACCCATCTGCATGCATATGCAACTTCTTTATAGTATTCGATTTGCATGCAGGACCAGGGGTGGAGGCGCATTGGACCAGTGCAGTCCCAGGTCCCCACTCAGATGTTATTATAAACAAATTAAGGAATCTCCAAATGCCGAAAGTGGTGGCCCTGCTGCCAAAAAAGAACAATCAGTTTTAGCTTTCCGTGTTATTGAACTATCAGGTCTAGCAGTCAATTCCACGTTTCCGTATTAGTAGAATTAATTTTCACAAAAAATTAACTGAAGTTAACCATGGGAACAAGTGTCAAACTTTAAGAGTGATAGTGAGTATGTGGTGAGCAAAAATACTCTCACTCGAAAAGTACAGACGGAGGCAACAGCCGCTTAATTATTTCCTTCTTGAATTTAATTTTCCATCTGCATTCGTATATTTGTATTATTTTATTGGGTCGTATATTTGTATTATTTTATTGGGTCGTATATTTGTATTATTTTATTGGGGCCAAAGCCCAACAACAAACTAATCTCCATTCATTCATTATGATGTATAATAGTTTGAAAATGAAGATAATCATGAGCAAATATGTGTAGATGATTTATTCGAGTAGGGACTGATAGTGGTTGAGCCAAGATTTTATGTATTGGGTTCTCTCACAAAAATATATACAAAAGAAAAAAAATTGAACTCACAATACATGCCAAAGTAATGAAAAGGGCCAAAATATCAAATATATTACATATATATAAAAAATATATTTACAATGATGTTTTTATTTTTATTTTCTGACACAACAACGATAGTATTTTATTAATGAGGAAAAGTAGTAACAAGTACAAAAAAACAATACTATCCTAGAGGATTAGGTGAGTACTTTACACCAAATGAAACGTAGTGGTCGTCAGTCTACTAAGGTAGCCTACCTTCTCAACCGCAAGCGGAAAAAGGAACCTTGCCTCCGATAGAGTCCCCTAATCCCTCTAAAGTCATATCCGTAAACATAGAAAGAAGGCCGTTGGAACCTCAGGTCTGCACGTATCTCGTCTCTCCTAGTAGAACTCTAGCAACGCCTAGAGAGCTCTAGAAAGAAACTCACCTAATACGTGGGCTACAATTTGAATTTGAATTTGAAAAGTATACATAAACGCCATTAAACTCAATAGGGAGAATAATCAAAATTTCACAAACCCAAAAACTACAGGTGGAGAGAACACAATAAAAAAATTCACAAACCCAAACAAACCATAGATAGAGAGAAAACAATAAAAAATAAGAGTTTAACAAACCTTATTTAAGTGAGTTAACTCAATTGAAACTTGATAATATATTATATTGAGAATAAGAGAATAAACAAAAGTCACAAACATGATTGTAAGACCAAGAGGAAGTATGTTTTGTCTACCGAAAAAAGAGAAAAATAGGTGAAAAAGACTAGGATTTTAAGAATTTATGTTATAATAATAATAATAATAATAATAATAATAATAATAATAATAGTAAATTTATAGAGCCAAGTTCTTTCCTAAAATATTCTATCGATGATTTCACCATTTACATTGGGCTTGATTCTGAACAGACCATAATCACTTTTGGAAAGAAGCATTTTCCATGTGCTTTTCCAAAAAATCACTTTTAGTGATTTTAAGTGATTTTTAGGAGAAACACCTCCTATACGATTCTCCATAAAATCACTTAAAATCATTTAAAGTGATTATTAGGAGAAGTGATTTTTCATAAAAGTAATTATTGGCCTCTTCATAATCACTCTCAAACAAGCCATTATAAACTTTCCTTTCAACTTTTTGGTAGCTTACATGAGATTTTATTTTTGAGTTTACCATTTGGCTATTGGAGTTTTCAAATAATTTACATCCAAATTTACAACATGATTATCAAAATTCAAAAACAAAAAATCACTCCCGTACCAAAATTTCTGACTACGCCACCACCACACTTGGCACCGTCTGCTAGAAAATCACCTGGGATTGGGTTTCCTTTTAGCACTTCTACCCCGTTTCACCTAATAATTTCTCTCAATGAAGCTGGCTGGGTTAAATATCTCCAGTACCACAAACATGGGAGCTAGTTGCAAATGTTTCTGCTAATTCCTTTACCTAGGCATTGCAATTTGCATGTGCTTTTCTTTTCTTCACAACGATGGCTGGCCACTCCAAACGAGTAGTTAGGAATCAACCATTCTTTTGTCAGTCATGGAGAAAGAAAAATAAAAAAGGACGGGTAACGTAAGATTCTCACAGATAAATTATCTGCCCGAATTTAGGGTTTAGAGTTTATGGTAACGTAATTGTTATCTTTTTTGGTAGGATGATCAATATTGTTATCTTTTTCTTCTGGTGAAAGGCAATATTGTTTCTTTGGCCTAGTTGAGAGAATAGCAATAAGATTTTACTGGTAGGAAGTGTAACTAGTACAAAAAAACTGGGCAATGTAGTAGGGGATTTGGCCTGGTAAATGCACGCTTAATTATTTAAAAAAAAAGAAAAAAGCAGTGGGGTATATTTCAATTCTTGTTAAAATCATTTCTTACCATTCAATTTCTTCTGGTGAACATGTCAGTATTCGTCATTATTTTCTACCCAAAACTGTACATATGCAGTGCTTTTCATTAACGTTTTTCATATACACCCTAAATTACTGAAACAGATCCTACTGTGTGTTGGTGGCAGAGCGTTGTGGAGTTTCAGCTCTTCATCATCGAAAGCATGATCCTTTTGTCTTTGTCCGCCAGCTGGAAATGGAGGACAGTGGCATCAAAATTCTTGAAAAAGAAATGTCAAGTGTGACATGCCCGTTTGATGTGTGTGGACAAATGACTTACACTTGATCAATTAATGTGCACCATAATGAACTACCTACCACACATGGGACATGACATAGGAGGATGTATATACGTTCATCATCAAAAAAGAAAAACATTCATATAAATATGTATGTTGTTTGTATATTGTACAGTGACGAATTCATGAATTTTCATTTCAGGGGTCAACGTGTATAAGGTTAAAAAAATTTCTATACAAAATAGACATATCGAAATGAAATGATAATATTCTAATTCATAGTTAATAGACAAAACCATACAAAATACTCATGTTCATTATCAAGGAGAATTGCATCAACTTAAAAAAATAGACACACACTGCAATAAACCGTAAATATCTCTAAGAATGTGATAATTGTTTGTGCAAATAATCCCTCGGGAGAATATTCGCTTTTAGATCCTTTGCTCTTTGAATTTCCTTCTCTCTCTTCCTAGATTCCTGTAAAAATGACAGGAGTAAATAGACCACACCCAGAGGGTGTTGTCCAAAGACCCTCCGATACCTAAGTTAGTTCGATTGAATCTAGGTGAAACAATAGCTAAAAAAGGATACAGAGATTTCTCTAGGGTGAGAACCGGGTGGCCGGAGTAGTGTGTGGAGGATGGAGCCTTGTGGAAAAAAAAATGGAGAGAGGGGCGGCGTGAGAGTGTGTGTGTAGGGTTTTCTCGGGTAGAAATTGGATTATCTTGAATGATGAATGAAGCCATGTATTTATAGGAGCCTCAGAGGATAGGGTTTTGCAAAGAATAAAACTCTTATTAGGAATGAGTTTATTCTTTCCCCAAATTGTAGAGATTTAGTCCATTAGGAATTTGATTGGGATCAAATTTCCTAATTCGATGGTGATAATATCTCTTAATTACGATAACATCTAAATTGGTGGTATTATCTTATTAAATAAAGGTAATGTCCCATATTTAAGATATTATCTCTATTTTTAGTATTAATTAATTGGCCAAATAAATAGGCACAATTAATTAACCTAAGGGATATTCTTCTTATCCACGTGGCGTCTTGTGATTGGACACGAAAATATTTGTTTTTGGGTTCCCAGAATGGGCTTGCGATTCTCTCTTGACCTAGGATGCCCAACCTGTATAAATACAAGGCTCCTTTTGCTCTTCTACAAATTTCAAACTTTACTTCTCTACTTTCTAGTTTGAGAGAGATCTTGGAGAATTTGTATTGCGTGTTGAAGATAGGAGTTTCCGTGCATCTCAAGATAAGTCAAGCACGTATATATATATATATATATATATATATATATAATTCTACATATTTTCTTTTTCCGCGATGAGGACCAGCTAGGTGAGACCCGGCTGGTTGTTGTCATGACTAGTGGTCGGAGACAATGGGAGCAGTGGTGGTCGGTGGTGGTGGTTGCCGGAAGGGCCGGCTGGTGGCGTCGCAACCTTGTTGGCTGCTGCGGTGGGTACCTGGGCTGTGTCTTGGAGGGCCAGCGTGGCGCGCTAGAGCTGGTCTGGGCTGCATTGCAGCTTGGGCTGGTGTTGGCTGTTTGGGCTAAGCAACAATTCCTTTTTTTTATATATTTTTTTATGTAGCAGGCTCGGTCTGGAGTGAATGGGCTGGAGGCGTCGCTGGGCCTGGGTTGTTGTGCGCAGTGGGAGTGGATTTGAACTTGCTACTCCATGCGACTTGGGCTGCATCCGCTTGGGCTGTGGGCTTGCTGTTTGGGCTGTAAGCTAATGATTTGGGTTTTTTTGTTTTTTGTTTTTGTTTTTGTTTTGTTTTTGGTATTCTGACTTGCAAAATTTTCTTTTCATCTTGCAGTTGTCTAGTCATCATGTCTTCTAAAGATGGTAACAGGTCACCGAGCTCTTAAGTGCTTTTGTATCTATGGGGAAGTTCTAAAATGCACAAGAAGAGGATTATGGCTAACTTGCACTGTGTGACATTTGAAGCTCAGTCCCAGTTCGATCTCCATCCCTTGACGTGCATGTTAAGTTGATGGAGCCTTTGACTGCTGATGTGCCTTGTGTGGATGCGAATGATCTAGATGCTAGGATCATCACATTCTGTCCTTTTTATTTTTTCTTGGGCTTCATGTTCTTGCTGTCAAAGCTTTTTAAGGAGGTGTTATGTGCCATGAAGTGTGCTCCGAGTTAGTGTATGTCCAACGTTTCTCGGGCGATCATGTATTTTAAGAATTTGAGCCGTTTTTCCAGGCTGGAGTTGAGGGTGTGAGAGTTTTTCTACTTCTTTGAAATAAGGCGTACGAGAAGTATGCATCTACCATGCCAAGTCGTTTGACAATTTTAGCCAATGAGATCACGTGTGGCATGACGATGTGCTAGAAGTCAACGGTCGGTTGGAAGGCGATGCTGGCGATGGTCCACTTGTTCCCATCACCTACTGCAACGGCACGTCATATTATTGTTTTGATCTGCTTCCTTTTTATTTGAATTTCTTGAAGTGTGACTGCCTAACTTTTGTCTTCTGCTTGTAGTGATTAACATCTACAAGAGGTTGGAACTTGGGCTAGACATGAATAAGGTCGTCTGGACTCTGAACATTCCCCCGAGGTTTTGTGAGTGGCACAGGCTATTTAGCCAGTATCGAGAGATGGAAGCAGAATGGTCCATACTCTGATGATCTACCTGCTAGATAGGAGGAGTGTTTTGCCTAATCCCCTTAAAAAAAGGAAGGCTGATATCAAGTCTTCAAGAAATGAAGCTACTTCTTCGCAAGCGAAAGACATGTCTTCTTTAAGGAAGAAGCCAAAGCTTGCTTCTGCTGAGAAGACACAAGTAAGATCTGCTCCCTGTCATATGCTAAGGTTAAGCACCTAGTCGGCGCAAATAACAACAAGATTGATATGCAGAACGTTCCACTTAAACCTCATGTTGAGGAGTTCGAAAACCATGATCTGCTCCGTGAAGTGGTCTGCTCGCGAACTAGTTCACTTACTAAGAGGTAAAGAGATGCTGATATTACCCTCCGAGGTTCGAGTCGTTTGCACCAGTCAAGGAATGGAGATCGAACTGGGATGTCTGTTCATCCGCCCAACCATCACGATCCAACTGTCAAGTCACGAGCAGTGAATTGTTGATTCCTTTGGAGGTGAGGATGGAGGCTTTTAAGAAGGCAAGAGAGTTATATGCTTGGGTGAACGGTTCCTTTTCAACGCCATCGGCTGATCCCAAGGTGGACAAGTCCAGTCCTACAGGGGATGCATGCGTGTCTGATCTATTGAAGATAAACTTCATACCAAGCTCGTCTACTTGTGTGAAGCTAGTCGATCATATCCAACAAGCTGACGATTTAGATACCTTTTCAAGTCTTTACTTGGAAAAACAAAGAGAAGCAACAATTCATTTGCTTAAGAAAATGAGTATTTTTTTGTTGAGCCATTTGGAACTCATCCGTTGTTGCCCCGTCTTCTGCTAAGCTCGGTGAGTTGGAGAAGAAGAATGCTGATTTAAGTAGCAAGCTCTCGGTCGAGCAGATCTCCTATGAAAAGAAGACGTCTAAATTGAGGGCGATGATATCTGAGTTGAAGAGTTCCCTTGTAAAGAAGGATTCTGAACTTAGCCCTTCTGCTGCTGACTTGGTTAGTCAAAAAGATGCCTACTTCCGTCTTGAGCGCAAGAATGCAGACATCTTTCCTAGTTATGACAAGCTTCTGGCTAGATTTGGCGTCTATCACAAGTCTGCTAAAAAATCCAAGCTTGAAACTATCACAAATGCGTACAAGCTGGGCTAATTAGACTGCATGAAGGAGATTGCTCCATTCTAAGCCATTGGAGATGAAGACATCAAGGCACTCTATCCTGACTTGCTCCCTGTTCAAAGTGAGCAAGTCAATGCTGCGAACATATAGGGAGCTAAAGAGCAGGTAGCCAAAGAGGATGGAGCAGATGAGGGGGCAGCTGATGAGATGGCGACAAGTGTCGCAGAGCAGACGGGTGGAGATGCTGAAGGCGTGGCTGATCAGGTGGATGCCGAAGAAGTTACAGATCAAGGGTCTCCTACCAGCGTCTCGGAGTAGATGAAGACTCATTTAGTTTCTCCAGCTTTTATAGTCTGCTTTCTTATTCAGAATAATTGTTCTTGTTTGACCATCTTCTTTTTGTTGAATTTGGCCGATTGGTCACTTTGTTATGGAAACTTCAATTTGCCTTGTGAACTGCTTGAGTAACCGGCTAGATGTTTGAATGTTTACCTACCGCTTACTTGAAGGGTGCTTTTCTACTCATTCATCAGGATGCTTTGGTTGTCATGCATCCTTTAGGAAACTGACAAGAACCTAGGTCCCTATTGAGGGACTTCGGGCAAGTCATGCATCTCATGATGGACGCTTTTATATGACCATCTTGTCTCCCTTAGGAAACAGATAGGACGCTTCTTAAAGGTTGCTCCCGATGGACTTTTTGGTTATTGCCTCGCGTCTCCCGAAAGACGCTGTTTATAGACAATTGTATAACCATCCTGTCTTCCATAGGAAACGGATAGGAATCTAGATTTCCTTTAGGAAATTCCAGGCGCACCTTGCATCTCTCAAAGGGTACTAGCTCAACGTCCTCTTCGGGTTTCCATCCTTCTTCAGGAGAGACCTCCGAACGAATTCCCTCAACTTAGTCATGATTCTTTGATTGCTATTGGGGAGTAACTATTCCCTTTCCTTTCTGGTTTGCTCGGCTATCAAGAACGGGATTTGCTTTCACCTCAACTTGCCCTCCTCCCTTTAGATCTGCTTGATTCATAGGGAGGGACTGGGTTTGCTTGCTCTTTTTCAGCCCTTGAGCAGAGCATTTTCTTGCCATTACCTGATCGCTCTTGATCTAGCTGACTCTGGTGCCAAGGATTGGGGAACGGATTTTCTGATGCATGGCAGATTTCATGGAGTTGATCTTGCCATTCCATGGTCTGACCAGAATGCCATTGTATGGGGAGACTTCGTTAATGACCATGAAGGTTTAAGAGCTGATTACTGGTGAAGAATAGACGTTGAGGTCTATTGTGTCTACGGTAACCGTAGTTGCTGCCATTAAAGCCGGTTATTGACTTGGCCGATTTGTTGATCTTCGTCTCCAGGCCTATCTACTGGATGACTGCCAATTGTAGGATATTGGCTGCACTGCCTTCGTCTGCATGGATTCGATCGATTATAGCTTGAGCGATTTGAATGCTGATAATGATGGCGTCATTGTGTGGCATATCAAGACCAATTAGATCTTTCTTTTGGAAGCCGATCATTGGATCGTCTTGTGCTGATGGGAGATTGGTTGAGATTTGGGAGATAATAGTGGCTTGTTTAATCTTCCTCATCTTTTCTTTGCTAGTCATCCTGGATTCCTCGAAGTTGTCAAGGATCGTGTTAATCCTTATAACCTTCGGGGGAGGTTCCTTAGCAGCATCGCAGTCCTCGATCTGCTGAATGGTTTTCTTTGCTCTGTGTAATGGCCTTCTCTCACTAGTTCTTCGAGGTGCGTTCTCCAAGCAAAGCAGTTGTTCGTGTTGTGTCTGTGCATCCCATGAAAGGCACCTTTTTTTTTGGTATCCTTCTTGTTCGGGTCTCTTTCAAGGATGAAGGTCTCTTTACCCAAGGCTTATCGTGGGCGTCTTTGATGTATGATGACTGATAACTTGGTATAGTTCTCTTCTGCCGTAGAGTCTCCTCTTGGGTGTGACTTGCGTTTATCTTTGTTCCTGCTACTGAGCCTGTCGCCTCTCTGACCTGCTTGCTTGGTAGAGTTTTTTGCTATGATTTGATCGTCATCCCATAACACGTAGTGTTTCACGGTATAGTATGTATTTTTCCTTTTTTGTAAAATTCTTGTTCAAACCTTTAGATATAAATAATATATAAGACAAAGCTTTAACAGTAAAGTAAAATTAAAGAGGCAAATAAATAAAAGTTAAGATTAAGAAAGCAAGCCAGGTATAGTGAAAGCACGTCAAAGACGCTGTCCTAAAGCCTTTGTAGCCTCCTTACGTGCAGGTAATGACAGTTTACAGGACTCCAAGATACGACCCCAATACGCAGGCTTAAAGTCTTCTATGAGAATGTTTACAGTCGGATAGAAATCTCCAAGCCACAGAACCGTGGCCCAAAATAATAATATGGAAAGTAGAAAATATATGAAAATATGATAATAGAGACATATGATTGTGGTGTGTTGAAATGTGAAGGAGGAGTGGCCTTTTATAGGCATCCAATACTCGTAACCTCCAGAGACATTTAACCAGAAAAATTAAGGCAATGAATAGAAAATAAAAACTGAAAAGTTAAACAATTGTAACTCCCATAATAAATAAAAGAAAACAACCAAAATATTAAAACAAAATCAAAACGTTAAAAATTTAAAAACCTTTGAAAAGCAAAAGATAAAGAAAATATACATATGGGCAACATAATACTATGCAATAGGTGTAGGTGCCTTCCAGGCTTGAACCTTCACTTAGTGATGATAGTGTTCATTTGAGGAACCTGAGTGTACACAGTATTGGACTCGGCACCTTTGACCAAACTTCAACGTATCCCACACATAGTATTGGTTGAGACTTGGAAGCAGGGTAGCGCTATTTATGGCCATGCGCTAATCTTGATTCTCATGAGAGTTGCTAGCCCAATTTTCACAGTCGCGGCTTCATGACATCTTTCACTTAGGTGAGTTCGCCAAGAGTACATGTGACCTGCACCGTGCGGGAGATTGGCCGGCTTGAAACTCATTTAGGAATAACTCCCTTCCTAACGTCACATTATATAGAACTAATGTCATAAGGATGAGCATGAGAACATCTCTAGGATGCCTCCACATTATACAAACAGTGCTTAATGAGTCACGCAATATGGATTGTTTTTACCCATTGAACTTCCTTCATGGGATCGCCAATCACAGAAGTATACCACCCTCTTCCATCAAATTTTGGATTGTAAAAACCCAAGCTTTAGCTTTTTCCCCAAAATCACAGTTCTTTTCTCCCTCCCTTATTCACATGAGAATTCACCAAGCATTGAAATTGGAAAATCAATTTATCAGCTCTGTGATTTGGAAGGGTGACTAAAGAAATTTTTCTAGGAAGCTCTTTCCGAATGTGCTCTTCCCGTGTCAAAAATTTTTGTTTCTATATGGATTTTTTTTTCCTACTTGTATATATAGGGTCTCGGCATCCATATTCGCACAGGGCCTCCAAAATCAATGGACTGGCTCTGCCTGCAGCTCTTCCCACATCTTTGAAGACCTATTATCATTATATAGGTTTTATTTATTTATTTTAAAAACAGACCAAGTTCCGAAAAACCCTAGTCTTAACATTTATTGACTTCAGACCCCAATAAAAAACATTTATTGACTATGTCCAAAAAGAAATATATATATATATATGTTACGCAAAACTCCCGTAAAAAGAAATATATGTTACCCACACTACAAAAAAAAGTGGCAACAGTCACCATTTTAGTCACCAAAAAAAGCAAAAAATGTGACTGTTGTGGGGGTTACTAAAGGCTTTAGTCACTAAAAAAAGCAAAAAATGTGACTAAAAGCCTTTTTAGTCACCAAAAAAGTCAAAAATGGTAATTGTTGCCTTTAGTAACCCCCACAACAGTCACCATTTTGTCACCAATTGTTGGTGACTATTGCCACTTTTTTTTGTAGTGCCAAAACAGGCTGAGAAATTGTAATTGATTGGAAAGCTATGAAAGAAGAGTTAGCTATAGAAATTGACCAGCTTTCTGAGGCAAGGATTGCCAATTTCCATGACCGTGTTTTTGAACGCACGCTAAGAGCTTTTGGTCCTCTGCCGGAGTCCATGGACCTTTCTTCACGCCGGACGACGCAACACAGTCATGAGTAGAGTTTCCCATGTCTCTCTAAAAGAGTAGTTAAGAAGAGAAAGAAAAAAGGAACTTGAATGAGTACTAGTGAGAAGATTGAGAGTGATCACTATTTATATTGGGAGTAAATAATGTTAATTTATGAATCAACTTTTGCTCATCAACGAATGTGGCAATAACTACATGTCATATGACACGTCAATTTTTCATTACTTAAGATTAATTACCCCTTTCAGATACGCATTGACTATCAGAATCTTCAATTGTCGGTCACACTGGACCACCGCCCTTCATCGCCTTTCCCAGATCAACGCCACCTCAGTGGCGCGGCAGTTCTTCTTGATATGTCTTTCTAACACTCTTTAAAGCAATACGTCCAAATATATCTTCAAAGCAACCTTGTCTTCTTTTTTCTCTGAAAAGCCTGCTCTCTCCTTCAAACTTTTCTTCTGAAAACAAGTCACCTACTTCCATAAATAAAAGCTACGCACGTTTTTTAATTTCTTTCCTCCCCCTCCCCCTCCTCTTCTCTCTCTCCTCTTCCCCACACTCTGTATCTCTCCCTCTCTCACTCTTCGCCTCAATATTTCCATTCGCATTAAAAAGTTTCTCTTTCTTTCCTTGTAATCATATTTAATTTTTTAGTTTATTAATTAATTACTATTAGTATCGTGAAAGGAAACTGGAGACTCCATTAGTATGAAATCCATCTGCATGCATATGCAACTTCTTTATAGTATTCGATTAGCAATTAGATATTTACTTGATTGACGTTGGTTCCTAATAACAAAAAGAAAGATGGGAAGATTGTGTCATTTTTTTCTGAACTAATATGCATTTAAATTTCATTCATCAATCTAATCATATTAAGATCACAAAAAGTTTATCATCAAAATTTAAACTGAGGGAGAGAGATACTGAGTGATGGAGAGAGAAGAGAGAGAGGGCAAGGGAAAGAAATTAAAAAGGGGCAGAGAAGTTCGGGACATGTGTCAAGTTTTAAGAGTGGTGGTGAGTATACACATTTGGTTAATATAGTGCGCAAAAATCCTCCCGCTAAAAAAATAAAGGCATCAGTCGCTTATTTATTTCCTTCATGAATTTAATTTTCCATCAGCATTTGTATATTTGTATTATTTTATTGGGGCCAAAGCCCAACAACAGAACTAATCTCCATTCATTCATTATGATGTATAATAGTTTGAAAATGAAGATAATAATGAGCAAATGTATGTAGATGATTGATACACGTTAGGGACTTACAATGACTGAGCAAAGATTTCATGTATTGGGGTCTCTCACCAATATATATATATATATATATATAAGAAAAAAATTTGAACTCACAATACATGCCAAAGTAATGAAAATGGCCGAAACATCAAATATATTACATATATATATTTACAATTATGTTTTTATTTATTTATTTTTTGATACAACAACGATTGTATTTTATTAATGTGGAAAAGGAGTAACAAGTTAAAAAAAAACAATACTATGTCCTAGAGAATTAGGTGAGTACTTTACACCAAATGAAGTGTAGTGGTCGTCAGTCTACAGAGGTAACCTACCTTCTCAACCGCAAGCCAGAAAAGGAGCCTTGCCTCCAATAGAGTCCCCCTGTCCCACTAAGATCATATCTATAAACATAAGAAGAAGGCCATTGGAACCTCAAGTCTACGTATCTCGCCTCTCCTAGTAAAACCCTAGCTAGCAACGCCTAGAAAGCTCTAGAGAGAAACTCACCTAATACGTGGGGCTACAATTTGAATTTGAATTTGAAAGTACACATAAACGCCATTAAACTCAATAGAGAGAATAATCAAAATTTCACAAACCCAAAAACTATAGGTGGAGAGAACACAATAAAAAATTTCACAAACCCAAACAAATCTTAGGTGGAGAGAAAACGATAAAAAATAAGAGAAAGTTTAACAAACCTTAATTAAGTCAGTTCTTCTTACCATTCAATTCTTGTTAAAATCAGTTCTTACCATTCAATTTCTTCTGGTGAACATTTCATTATTCGTCATTATTTTCTACCCAAAACTATACATGCAGTACTCTTCATTAACGTTTTTCATATACACCCTAAATTAATGAAACAGATCCTACTGTCTTGATCAATATGGAGTTTCAGCTGGAAAAGGACTTGGCATCAAAGTCGTCTTTTTCAATTTTTGTTTGTAGATAATTAAAGTAGTCCTTTAAATAGAGTTCATGAAAAAGAAATCTCACGTACACTTGATCAAAGGACTTGTACTTTTTTGGTGTGTTGACAAATGACCTACACTTGATCAATTAATGTGCAACATAATTAACTACCTAACACACACATGGGACATAGCATAGCATGTATATACGTTCATCATCAAAAAAGAAAAATATTCATATAAATATGTTGTTTGTATACTGCATGTTGAAACTTACCAAAACTTATGGGGAACAGCGGACCAGGTAATAGCTATGGCTCCCATCCTTCGTTGTTTCAGAGGAAAAAACAAAAAACAAAAACTTAACCTAGTTGAATAAGGTAAGAAATAAAATACAAGGATGATCTATTTAGGAGTTCCTATAGCAGAGCATATATTATTGAGGTTTCGGCAAAAGAAAAAAAAAGTAATTGAAGAAAGATTGAATGGTTTAGCTAGTTATCCATTGAAAAAGACATGCTAGAGGTGAGCTTGAACTTAGGATCTTTTTATTTTTTTCGGGTAACAAGGGAAACCCCCATGAACTATTCCCTTGTTGGGTACAAAGTCAAAGGGCAATCACCCATAAACCGCATATCCATGAACTACAAGTTTTCTTCAGTTTGGCACCCTCGTGATTCCCAAACCCAGATTTTCTTAAAAACTTGCAGTCCTGGTGATTCCATTTCTATTGATAGGTGCTTGTGTTGAAATATAAGTGCTTTAGCTGACATTAATTTGTATTTAGTTTAAATTTACAGATTTAAATGTGAGTCCTTGGATTACAGTCCAAGTGGACAGCTAAGATGTAATCTTAGAATAGAAGAATGGATGGCTAGATTTGGATGATGTAATATGGGAATATTTTGTTCCCAACGGCTATTATGTGCACAGTTGCGTGAATGAGTGTAAGAATTCATTTGCTTCTTCCTCAAGCTCTCTCTCTCTCTCTCTCTCTCTCTCTCTCTCTCTCTCTCTCTCTCCAAAATCTATCATGGCCTCAGAGTCAGGTTTGATTGCTTAACTCTAGGCGTTTGAATCTGTGTAGGAAATGAGTTGAGATCGAAGAAATTGCTTGCGAGATTTGTGTCTAACATGGCAGGGTCTGGAGGTGGTGAGCTGAGAGCACCGATTTTCAACAGCAAGAATTATTAATTCTAGAGCATAAGAATAAAAACCATTTTCAAATCTCATGGGTTATGGGAGTTTGTTCAGAAGGGAGTAGAGTGCTCAGATTCAAAGGGAGCTGATGAATCCGATGCAAAGAAGAAAGAAAAAGAAGAATCAAGCGATGCTGGGAAGATGACTCTCATAGAGGTATTCATGAAGGATGCTAAAGCTCTGGGACTGATTCAAGGAGCAGTTTTCGATGGGATCTTTCCTCGGATCTCTCACGAAGATACCTCTAAAGGAGCTTGGGATATATTGATGCAAGAATTCCATGCTGATAAACAGGTTAGAAGTGTTAAATTACAAGGTTTTCGTAGGGAGTTTGAATATACAAGAATGAAAGATGATGAATCACTCTATGTTTATCTTACAAAACCATTTGATATAATAAATCAAATGCGGAGCTATGGAGAGGAATTATCTAGACAACGAGTTGTTCAAAAGTTGTTAATTAGTCTGCCATCAGCCTATGATTCTATTTGTTCTGTTATTGAACATTCGAAGGATTTGGATGTGATTGAGGTACAAGAAGTGGTAGCCTCTTTGAAGAGCTTTGAGTTAAGGCTAGATAGGCATTCTGAAAACAAAACTGAGAGAGCATTTGCTAATCTTAGTGTGAATCCCAAATCAGATAAGCCCACTGGAAATCAAAGTACTAAGGATCAAAAGAATTGGAAGGCAAAAGGTAAAAAATGGGATAACAAATCCACTGATGGTCCTAGAAATCCTTGCAAGCACTGTGACAAATTGCATTTTGGTGAGTGTTGATTTAAGGGCAAGCCAAAGTGCTACAACTATGACAAGTTTGGTCATCTTGCAAGGGACTACTATAGTAAGAAACCAGAGAAATCAAAGAAACCAGTGCAACGGCTCAAGTATGCCACTCAGGTAGAATCTACACCAACTATGTTTTATGCTAGTAATAAATCTAATACATGTGTAAAAGGATATAAGGATGTACGGTATATAGATAGTGGATGTAGCAATTATATGACAGGTAAGGAGGATCTACTTGTTGATATTGACAAGAATGTGACTGCTAAGGTTGAAATGGGTACTGGACAACTTGTTGAAGTGACTAGTAAAGAAAATCTAGTGGTTGAAACCAAAATAGGCAAGCGATACATTAAGGAGGTTATTCTGGTGCCTGGACTGAAAAAAAAACTTACTTAGTGTGGGTCAAATGATGGAGGATGGCTACTACTTGGTGTTTGAAGATCATAAGGTGGAAATCTATGATGACAGTTCATGTTCCAACATGGTTGCAAAGGTACAAATGAGAGGAAATCAAAGTTTTCCAATGAAATTGCAGTCTGGAATACACACTGCCTACAAGGCAAGTGTATGTCACTTTACAACTATGTGGCATAAGAGATTGGGACATTTGAACATGAGCAGTTTGAAGTTGATGCAGGAACAAGAAATGTTTGTAGGTTTACCAGAAATCAAAGCAGTTAAAGAAGTATGTGAGGGTTGTGTTCTAGGTAAACAATGCAGGGAGGCATTTCCAAGGGAAGCTACTACTAGAGCATCAACTCTTCTAGAACTTATACATAGTGACATTTGTCGTCCAATGCAGACTGTTACAAAAGCAGGAAATAGGTACTTTCTCACTTTTATAGATGATTGTACTCGGATGTGCTGGATTTATTTTTTGAGATACAAGTCTGAAGTATTCAATGTCTTTAAGAGGTTTAAGGCTATTGTTGAACTGCAAAGTGGATATAAGTTGAAGAAATTGAGAAGTGACAAAGGAGGAGAGTATACATCCATTGAATTCAACAGGTTATGTGAAGAAATGGGTGTTGAATTCAATGGGAATGAAAAGGCAACTCACTGTGGCATATTCACCACAGCATAACGGTGTGGCTGAAAGAAAGAACAAAACTATTGTGGAAATGGCTAAGTGTATGATGTTTGAGAAGAAGATGCCACAAGAGTTTTGGGCTGAAGCTGTTAACACTGTAGTATATATTCTAAATAGGTGTCCAACTAAAGCTTTGGACAAAAAGACTCCATTTGAAGCCTATAGTGGTAGAAAGCAAGGATTAAGCACTTAAGGGTGCTTGGTTCTTTGTGCTATGCACATGTTCCAAATCAACATAGACAGGAGTTCGAGCTAGCTAGCACAAGATGTGTGTCTCTAGGGTATGGAAGCTGTGAAAAAGGCTACAGGCTTTATAACATTGCATCTGGAAGAGTGGTTATTTCCAGAGATGTAGTATTGAATGAGGAAGCAAGCTGGAATTGGAATGCACAAAAAGAATGCAGTGTCTCAATTCCACTTACTGATATGCTTACTAAGAAAGAAAAGGAGACTGATGACGCTAGTTTGACTCAAGCAGAGATCTCAGAAGAAGAACCTGTTGAAATTGGTTCAGGTCCACAAGAGATTGATCACACTCCTTTGAAATATAAAAATATTGCAGAAATATATGAAAGATGCAATCTGTGCATCATTGAGCTTGAGACATTTGAAGAAGTTGTCAAAGATGAGTCATGACAGAAAGAAATGGAGAATGAAATTGCAATGATATAGAAGAACAACACTTAGGAGTTGGTTAATAGGAGGTATAGGTTGATCAACCTCCTGGATTCATGATTAAGAACAAGGAGGATAGAGTTTATAGACTCAAGAAGGCATTATATGGCATTAAGCAAGCAACAAAAGCTTGGTATGAAGAAATCAACTCTTATTTCACAAAGGCTGGTTTTCAAAGAAGTCCTAGTGAAGCAACATTGTATGTGAAGACTACAGACAATGGAATACTCATTGTTTCTCTATATGTGGATGATATTATTTACATTGGAAGTTCAAAAGAATTGATGATGGAGTTCAAAACGGAGATGATGAAACAATATGAAATGACTGACTTTGGGTTATTGCATCATTTTTTGAGGTTAGGTGTGATACAAACTGAGTCTTACATCTTTTTACATCAGAAAAAGTATGCAAAGACATTGCTGGATAAGTTTGGTTTCAAAGATTGTAAACCAGTTGCTACTCCTCTTGCAGTGAATGGAAAACTGTCTAAGATGGATAAGAGGAGTGATCAAGCTGATGAAAGTGTATATAGGCAGATAGTTGGAAGCATGCTATACTTGACTGCAATAAGACTAGATATCATGTTTGCAGCAAGTCTTTTGGCTAGATTTATGCATGGTCCCACCAAAAAACATATAGGAACTTCCAAGAGAGTACATAGATACATTCAAGGCACACTTGATTATGGTATAGCATATGAGAAAGGGAAAGAAACAATGCTTATTGGCTACTGTGATAGTGATTGGTCAGGGAGTGAGGATGACATGAAAAGCACATCTAGATATGCATTTAGTCTTGGATCAGGTGCATTTTCTTGGGCATCTGTCAAGCAAAGCAGTGTTGCACTATCCACTGCAGATGCTGAATATGTTAGTGCAGCAGAAGCCACTGCACAAGCAATCTAGCTGAGATTTGTTCTCTCAGATTTTGGTGAAGAACAGATTGGTGCTACTCCAATTATATGTGATAATACTTCAGCTATAGCCATAACCAAGAATCCTGCGCATCATCATAAGATAAGGCATAGAAACAGGAGATTTCATTTCATTCGAGATGCTTTGCAAAATGGAGAGATTGATTTGTTATACTGCAAGACTGAAGAGCAAACTGCATATATTTTTACCAAGGCATTGGCCTAGGATCGTTTTGAATACCTGAGAAGAAAGCTTGGAGTAATCTCAGCTAAACACTTAGAAGGGAGTGTTGAAATTTAAGTGTTTTAGCTGACATTAATTTGTATTTAGTTTAAATTTACAGATTTAAATGTGAGGCCTTGGATTACAGTCCAAGTGGACAGCTAAGATGTAATCTTAGAATACAAGAATGGATGGCTAGATTTGGATGATGTAATGTGGGAATATTCTGTTCCCAATGATTATTTTGTGCACAGTGTGTGCGTGAATGAGTGTAAGAATTCATTTGCTTCTTCCTCAAGCTCTCTCTCTCTCTCTCCAAAATCAAACAGCGTGCTCTGAACGTTTCCAAAATAAATTTTTAACCATATCCCGGTTAGACAGGTTTCCCTTGGTTATTTTTTGGGTAGATTTGATTCAACTAGGTTATGACCTATTAGTCAATCTGTTAATTGCCCGCCATTAATGAATATAACGGATATGGTAATCGAATCATAAATTATCATCTGATATGGAATTGCTTTGTAGCCTCACTTTGTAGAAATCTATGGATTCAAAACCTACAACCCAATTATGGCTGTCACACTGTCACACAAAGGTTATTAAACAACTTTTAGGCTTAGGGGAATTCCAACTGTTGTATAATTGCTAGCTGCCTGGTCAGATAGAATTATGATGAGAAATCCCATTAAATTAGTGCATTAGTTTTGGTTTTTCAACGGTACGCTACACGTACTTCAAAACATATTGTCTTACCTTGCTTTTGCCAATTAAATCCTAATAAATGGCTGTCCTTGACCTCTGATGGTTGACCTAGGTAACGACACCCAGCTGAGAGCCCTCTAGCTAGCAGCTTTAGCTTAATCTAATCTCTGCCTTGGGTTGTAATCGCCTCCTTTGAAGTCCTTTATAGTAGACATTTGACGGGCACAATTTAAAAGTATTTTGGGTTTGATGCTGGAACAACAACACTAGTTTTTTCTTCCGAAGTTTGTGTGTCAGTGTTCAGTGAAGCACCGATACATGATGATTTAGGCCCAAAAGGATTTGGTGGTGTCCCTTTTATGTATCTCAGAACTTGATTTAGAATTAGATAGTTGACATAAGCGTGGGAGAATAGCACTATACCTAGTTTATAATAGTCTTTTGCTTACTTTTGTGTGTGATTTTAATTGATTTTAGATGAGATGATTCACCGCAGTGCAACTAAAACTCCTTAAGAAGACAGGCTTTTCTAGTCATTATTTCAGAAGTAACCTGAGTTCACCACACGGAGCGGGTATTGCTTTAATGTGAACCTTGCAGACCTTGTTGGTTTCATTGAGAAGGATAGCTGTATTCAACTTTCTGTTGTACCATAAATCAGGATGACAACTCGTTAAGAATAAATAATAAGATTGAATCCAGCAACATAAGTCTTTTCCTTCAGCCTAATGTTATCTTGTTTGAAAGTAAAACATGAGGAATTGAAAACTTCATTCCTCAAAATCAATGTATGTGAAATTAGTACTTAGGTGATGTAGGGGTAAATTTAAATGATAATCAAGCAAGACACAACAAACTTCACACCCTTTAGACCTTGACCAGATACTCTTATAACTAGTCAACTACCATACATGAATTATCATAACCGAGAACATACACAGAGCATACCAAGATGTACCTGCAAGCCTAAAGAATTACTAGTGACAACCTAGGCACTCAGAAGTGTGTGAAGACATCATAATCAAGTAAACATCAAACAGCAGGAAATCGCAAGAACACAAACCCAGAAATGGGTTTTTCGCAGCTATGGTCCCGCAACTATACCTGTAATTGCATTTGGGTCACTGAACTCAATTATTAGTTGCAAAGGTCACTCAACTATGTGTTTCGTTGCACCGTTAGTCCCTACGGTCAAGTCTCTCTAACGGAAGGGACTAATGGTGCAACACAACACCTAATTGAGTGACCTCGATAACTATTTTTTGGAGTTAAGTGATCAAAATGTAGCTCCGAGTATAGTTGAGGGATCATTGCTACAAATAATCCTAACTGAAAAGTCACATTTGCCCATCAATAATTGGATAGATCTTGCCACGTCATCATTTTAAACGGAAAAAACTAACGGACTTGACGGAAGGATTGCTGGTGCAACGAAACACATAGTTGAGTGACCTTTGCAACTAATAATTGAGTTTAGTGACCCAAATGCAATTACTGTATAGTTGAGGGACCATAGCTGCGAAAAATCCCCCATAAATATATGAACATCGTGCGATGACTAGTCAACTATCAAGAACATAAACCCAGAAAATTACAGAGATGCAAACCAGAAATGATTCACCCAAAAACCCACCATTGGGAAAAACTGGTCATCAACTGACCAGGCAATCCACTAAGCAAAAAGATTCTTACAAAGAAACACTAGCAAGCTCAAGAAATCATAGGTCTATTTAGGAAAATGAGCTTTACCTCATTTGTGCAATCTTCTTCTCCAGCTTAGTAAAACCATCATCTTAGGTCTTTATGGCAATGGCAGCTCCTTCTTTAGCTCTTTCATCCCATGGCACCAGCTGGCTAGCTCTAACTCAACAAGAACGAAATTTGGATTCAAAAGCAGAATGGCCAATTTCTTCAATAAACCATACTCTTGAAGAAATCAATCTTGAATCTGACCTAGATATATATGAGAGAGTGTTTGATCTAGTAAGATGAGGTTTTCATATTTCAAATGCAGTTTTCAAAAAGAAACAATTTGGAAAACTCAAAGATGAAAAATATGAAGGTTACACTTGAGGAAGAAAAGAAAGTTTGCAAAGAAACTTTCCAAAACTTGCCTGCAAAAGTGATGGTTGTCAAATGAGGAATGCACTTGTTTTTACACCAAAATTCCTAGGTTAGAATCGTACAAGGCAGCAAAGAATTTCGCAGAATATGACAACAAAAAAAAGGTAGGGTCCAGCTGGAAACAGTGAGCTGGAAAACAAACAATACAAAAAGTTGACTAGTCATACGAAAGAAAGATGGCTAGTCATAATTTTCAGGAATTTAGTTAATGCAATGTAATGCAATGCAAAACTTACCTTTGTCAAATACATTGTTGTTCATCATAATGCAACCAGATAAAAACACCTAGAGATGTAATTCTTAATCTAAACTAGAGCTTGAGAAAATACAATGATTGTCCTATTACAAAATTGTCAAGAGAAGCCAAAAGAAAATTACAAAATCCATGTACACTTACAGTATTCTACCTGCATGCCTAGTATGCTCTTGTATTTCTCGTATTGATTAGGTTCTATGCCTTAAGACGAAAGGGGAGTCGGCGAGCTTGTTGTAGTCGGTCCTAAAAGGAGAATCATGTTTCTGCATGACAAAATTTCCTCTTGATTAATTGGGATTAGTTTTGTGAAAAAGTATTTAGTGTCATCAAGTAATCAATTTTTACAAGTTTAGCAGTTGAGAGTCAAGGTCTGCGAGTTGTGATTCCTAGTGAACTCTTTGTCTCCCTCAGGACAAGAGACTAGGTAAATTGGCATGCTCTTTGCTAACCTTTGAATGAAAATAGGGGCAGAATGTGATCTACATCAGGATAATCTGGTTTTTGATGGTTAACCATAGATTTTCATAAATATTTGAGATCTATAAGAGACGAACCTCTGCTACTTTCTAACCATCGGGCAAAGAGTAATTTGAAATCCTTTATGCTTTGATTTGCTGATTTTTCCTATTTTTTCCATTCCATCATATGTGTATATATTTACTTTACACAAAGATGCATGTGTTTGTTGAAATACGAAGAGGTGAAAATTGATGCATTTTATTTTTGCGCTATATAAAGTGTTCAGCTATATAGGAAACCAATGTTTGCACTGACAACATGCGTGTAATTTTGGGGGTGTTGGCGGTACAATAAGAAATATGAATTTGAAGATAATAATAATTCTGAACAGAATTGTAATAATCAAATACAATAATAAATTTACATGAAATTAATGTAAATCAACAAATACAAGTAGAAATACTAACAACTTTAGTGATTGAGGCTTGCAAGAATTGCAATGTCCTAAAGACAGATTTCGCCTCTGCCCTTGTGCTCGCAATTCTATAGGCGTCCATCTCCCAAGATTCAACAATCGATAATCCTAAATTGAAGCACTTCAATTTAAGACTCTAACGCACCAATTATATATTTGTACTCTCAAGACACTTAGGAAAGAAACTTGAAGACTGATACTCTAACATAGCACGAGTGGAGAAAACTCCTTATCAACACACCTCCGGAATGTCATATAGCTTAGGTTTATATAGAACCCAAGTGACCTTTTGGAATAGCAATGGTGGCTGTTCACTAATTGACGCTACCTAGGCAAAAGGGAAGATGCAACTTCTCTAATTGAATTGCATCAGGTTTGTATGCTATGCAATTTTTCATATTTAAACATAATAACCGTTTTCATTCACACACTAAAATTAAATATTATAATATTTAATAAATATTATAATATATAATTTCCAACAATCCCCCACATGAATGAAAAAACTAAGAAAAATTGAGAGTACTGGCGGAAAAGAGATGCATCTGAAGAGGTGTCTTTTGGATTTGAACCTATCATAGTGAAAACCTATCAAATTTATTTGGTGACGCAGTGGATATAATGAACTTGAACTATTTACCGTAGTAGTAAACCAAGACAATAGGAATCACACATCTCCAATCCTAATATATTATGGTTCATACAGTTGTGTTCATTTTGGTCCTGAACAATTCCCGGATTCATGAGAGCTTTAGAAAACTTAGCCATCTCGTTCATGGGTGTGCACATTCCATCTTATGAAATTATATTCATTCAAGAGTAGTTGTTTTTCAAAAAGTCATTCATACGTTTAGTTGGAACTTACTCAGTAATTTGCCAACTCTTCGGTAGATTTCCCCCGCATTTAAGGTATTTGTAGGGTCTTTAACCTTTCTATACCTTAAAATAAAAGTTACTCAACTCTTGCAAATTACTTTTTCATTCTTAAACGAATATGAGATTACAAAGATAGTTAAGCCACCCCCACAATTCTCTTACAATTGTGGTTGCTATTAAACTATCAATGATTTTTCATACCTTAAGAACTTTGCAAATTATGTCTAGTGCAATTTTGCAATAAACCCCACATTTTCGGGTTCTCATCATTTCCATTTAATGGAAATTGTTATGGCTCCCTTCATATAATACATTGTAGTTTGAAGCCTCACAATTAGAAACTTAATTCTACAAAATAGGCCTTTGCCCCCACATTTCAGTTGTTGTCTTTGTAAGACAGAAATATACCACGTTTCTGGTCATTTCAACACTACTTCTCGAAAGTATTCGTCAATCGTGTTTGTCAAATATAGACAACACAAGGACTTGCTTTCCCTTCTTCAGAAAAATTTGCAAAACCAAATTTCTGTAATATTTCTATAGGTAATCCAATATGCCAATTGCATATCTCAATATTAACCCAAAGGCTCATACACATTTATATGAACATATCTCTTCTAATTTTGAAATAATCAAATTGGCAAACTTCTGAAATTCAACAGCCCATCTCTTTTTTCTAGAAAATGAAAGTTGAATCAGTTTGCCAAAAGAGATCTGGCCTGGTCGAAGCCCTATCTGTCAACTCTTCTCAGCTCTGATTCGTGGTGTTGCGTGGCATGCCACGATTGGATATATGACCAGCCCAATAGACCTGGTATGGATGCTTATGAATGGTTAGTTCTGATGGAACTATAGCGCTTCTTTTTCTAGACTTCTTCTCAAGCCATTGTGCTCCAAGGGGGGTACTGGCCTGGATTGATTCTTTTCTACGCCTCAATTAAGAGGACTTCAATATTCTTTCCTCCGCGAGTGTCAACCTGACAAGTATGAGCGATACCTGAACAAGTAAGAGAGAGAAAAACCAAGATCGTGGTTAGTAAGACCCTATCTGGGTTTTATCAACCAGTTTCAATATCTATATCGTCCTCGGGTAGGATTAATAGTTAATTCAGGCCCAGTGATATAATTCAGGCCCAACTCAACTTCCTATCCCTCCTATCGTTACTATTTCATTCGGGCCCGAACGTCAGTTCTTTGGACTTTTATAACGGGACAAAGGCGGGAATTTGATTTTATGTACTAAAATAGTCCATAATTCATATTTAGGTAATTAAGTGAATTTATTTAAGACGATTTTTCTGCAACATATACTCGATCTAGGCGTAAACGAGACTAAATAACATAACCTTCTTCAATTAATCCATCAATTATCCTTAAATCCAAATTACAAGGTAAGGAAGGAGAGACTGGAGATTTCTCAATCCAGTTAAGTGATTACATGAATTGAAACATATTACTTTTAAAAGAAAATCATACCATGAATATGACAAAGCTACGAGAGATAAACGCAGGAGTTGTCGACTAGTTATCTAAAGAGAGTAGGCATATTGCTATCTGAGAGTTTTCAAGTGTTTTTTGAGACGTTGCGTTTGATTTTGGAGAGAGAGAGAGTCCTCTTCTTCTGGAGTAGACCTTCTTTATTTATAAAGGAGAAAGGAGCTTGTAATGATGGAAACTGCGACAAGACCTTTGGCTTGTGGTTCAAGGTCAGCTGCTGGTTTGTTCTTAACCGGTTCATAGAGGGAATGATGGAAGGCTTCTGGCAGAAACCGTCAATTTTCTTTGTGAAGTTTTCTTGATTTGACCCCTTTGTACTTGACGGCCTGGCTGGCAATTTGATCTTTCTCTAGTTTTGGTGGCTTCTGTACGACTTGCTTTCTTGCTGGGAGAGAAGGAGGTCAAGTCGTCATTAATGGTGAAAATCCCCTTCATCCTCTCACGTGGGCCTAGAAAACATATTTATCGATTTTTAACCTTAAGTGCGAAATAAGGATTTGATCCTTTACAATTGGGGCCTTCTGATCGATTTATTCCAAAAAACCCCGTTAAGAAAAGATGACCCTTTAAGAAAAGACAAATGTTAATGAGCCTGGATTTCCTTTTAAAATATTCTTTTAACCCGTTAGACCATTTTTGGTCCATTAACCCGTTAGACCATTTTTGGTCCATTCACCAAAACTGGTTACAAACACATTGAAATATTGTCTTTTTGTAGTTAGCATCTGACGGTTTGCATCTTTCCACCATGACCTTATTTTCCAGATCCAGACACAAACTTTCCAATAAGGCCAAACGAAGTTTCTTTTCGATAAACTATACATACATAGTCATTCCGTTGCATGCATCTATTCACCAAGTAACTGTTTTTGCATTAAAACAGTTATATCTATTCACCGACAGACTCTTTGCAAAAGATCAGACAATCTCCATTTGAAATTATGCCTACTGTCTTGAGCAATTATATGTTCATGCAGTGGGTAAATGAATCTTATTTCCAGATGCGACACAATGGCTCCCCTATGCTGTTGTAAACTTAATATACATCACCCAGCATATCAACTAGACCCATTTTAAACTTCAATGTAAAATTCAATTCCTTTCTACAAAAGGAACTGCACGCATTGTGGTAGAAGACCAGCCCCACCAAAATGTAAATTCCCATAGAAAATAATTCCATGTTCTTCATGTATAATTCCATGTTCTTCACAAAACACTCCAAGCTCATTTGGGGTATACTCCTCACCTCTGTCAGATCTGAATCTTTTAATCTTTTTCTCTAATTGATTTTCTACCTCACTTTTATAAATCTTGAGTTTATCAAACACCTCATCTTTTGTCTTAATAAGATAAATATGGCAATACCTAGAGAAGTCTGTTTACACCATAATCAACCGAGCATATCCAGCCTCAAAACAAATAGCACCAAGGCAGCCACGCCTTCTCCCCTGCCGAAGGAAGTCACTTTTCCAAGGTGCCAGACACCTGCCGAAGCTCCCGACTGCCGATTCTCTCAAACTGCTAAACCTAATCTCCATGACACGTGTCACCACCACAACGACTTGTACAAAGTCCCACATCGAAAATCTACACAAAACCTCCCACTTTCACTTCCCTATAAAAAGGGAACAGTACTCTAGTAAAAAGGGTAACTACTTTCTTACCTTTTACTATTATTCTGCTAAAGTTACCCCTCTTAGCTGACTTAAGCATCGGAGAGCCTTCGGCCGGCACCACACCGGTGTCCGAAGCTTAACGACTGCTTCTCCTATTTTGTCTTCTGCAGGCTAGCCTTTATTGAAGGTCCAGGCCTTTTCCCTGCCGAAGGCAAACCTCCTTTTCTCTAAGTTAACCCTCTCCGAAAAAGAGCATCAACAAGGTCATCAATCTGTCACAAAGTACTTGTTAGTAGGAGACTTATTTGAATCACACACGTCACTATGTATGAGCTCTAAGATTTGGGTGTTTCTCTCTACAGGTTCAAAAGAATTCTTAGTTTGTTTGGCTTGAACACACACTTCACATTTGTGCTTAAGGTCTACGTTGGACTTAAGGATTAGCTTAAGATCCATTAACCTTTTGATTTTGCTCAAACTTACATGTCCTAACCTTCCATGCCATACATTACAAGAATCAACATTAACAACTTGAGGAGAATTTTATTATCTTCAAAAACTACATTTATTTTGATCAATCCATCACAAACATATCCTTTTCCAATAAAGACATTGTTTCTAGTAATAACAATCTTATTCGACTCCACTACAATTTTGTATCCTTGTTTTACTAAGGACTATCCAGTGATAAAGTTTCTCCTCACGTCAGGAACATGTCGCACATCCTTGAGAGTTAGAGTCTTCCCAGATGTCATCTTCAATTCCACTCCTCCTATTCCAAATACTTGTGCGACGGTATCTTTACATATTGCCATTGGAATTGTTATGGGGTCTATTGTGCTGGCGATTTTGGTTTCGATTGATTATGATTGGATTGGCAATTTATGTTTGTCCTCTTGAAAAATTTCCTTCTAGATTGGAAACGATTCCTATTGTTTGAACTTTCCACCAGGTTCACGTTTGTCTTTTCTTCCTTAGGCTTGTTACTTGATCTATGTTTGTCTTTTCTTCCTTAGGCTTGTTACTTGATCTATGTTTCTCTTCAATCCTAAGGGAGTTTAATACTTGAGTTAAGGTTAAATCTCCTTGTTTGTGCCTAAGGGTTTTTGCAAAATTTGACCAACTTGTGGGTAATTTATCAATGAGGCAAGAGACTTTAAACTCTTCACTAAACTTAGTACCCTTAAGTTCTATTTTCCTTAAAAAATCTTGGTACTCATGAATTTGTTCACTTACAGTTTTATTCTCAAGCATCATATAGTTATTAAAGTTTGAGATTATAAAATGATCTATTCTCGCATCTTCTATCCCATATTCAACTTCTAATTCATCCCACTAAGTTTTTGCATTTTTTTTTATCTTGATAAACATCATACAGATCATCAGAGAAAGCACTAAGGATTCTGTTATGGTAATGATATTCTAGTTCTTCTTTTGTCATCTTCTCCTTAGTTTTAGAAGTGGTTTCAATAGTTTTATTAGGTGTGGTTTGATTTTCTAAGGCAGAAACTAACCCGAAAACAATTAACCAATATTTAAGTTGTCTTTGCCACCTCTTAAAATTTGTCCCATTAAAGTTTTCAGGTTTAACGTTATTGGTTTCTACACTATCCATCTCAGTTCCAATAAGCAATAAAGAAGCAACAAATTTGGCATATAATAAATGTAATAATGGAGATTTAATAATAATCAAATAATTGGTAAACAAACAATAACTTAAAGAAAAAACGTGCCAAGTTTATGACAAGATATTTCACTTCAATTTTGTCTTAAAACGGTTACAAAATCTGATGTGCTTAATTTGTTCGCTTACGTTAAAGATTTGTATAATATTTGTTTGAAAAGACTTGTGTAAAGTTGGACTTTAATGTCCTTGAGTTTGGAAACGTTTAGGCTTAAGAGGCACAGTCAATAAGCTAATAAAGATAGAATAAGTATCAACCAATTTAAAGAAACTTTTCACCTTTTCAGTTTTTTAATTTTTTAAAATTCGTGTATGTTTTATAAACAAAAAAACCGTGTGGCTGCCTTGATTGAGAATGTGTAGATGTTCCCCTTTTATTTTATTTTATTTTATTTTATTTTTTGAATTTTATAAGAAGGAAAAAAAAATTGAAACTTAAAGCAACAACAAATACGGTAAGAAATTTTTTAACATACAAAGGCTTTAGATTGTTATTAAAAATTGTATTTTTCCTTTTTTGTAAAATTCTTATTCAAACCTTTAGATATAAATAATATATAAGATAAAGCTTTGACAGTAAAGTAAAATTAAAGAGACAAATAAATAAATAAATAAAAGTTAAGATTAAGAAAGCAAGCGTGGTATAGTGAAAGCACGTCAAAGACGTTGTCTAAAGCCTTTGTAGCCCCCTTACGTTCAAGTAATTACGGTCTAAAGGATTCCAAGATACGATCTCAATACACAGGCTTAAGGTCCGCCATGAGCATGTTCGCAGTCCGATAGAAATCTCCAAGTCACAGAACCGTTACCCAAAATAATAATATGGAAAGTAGAGAATATATGATAATATGATAATAGAGAAATTTGATTGTGGTGTGTTGAAATGTGAAGGAGGAGTGGCCTTTTATAGGCATCCAATATTTGTAACCTCCAGAGATATTTAACCAGAAAAATTAAGGCAATGAATAGAAAATAAAAACTGAAAATTTAAACAATTGTAACTCCTATAATAAATAAAAGAAAATAGCCAAAATATTAAAACAAAATCAAAACGTTAAAAATTTAAAAACCTTTCAAAATAATAACAGTATTTCCCCCTGAACTTGATCAAACTCAGGGTCAAGGCCTACAAGGAAATGGTGGACGCGAAGATGATCAAGTTTTGTTTGTGTGTAGTAAAGTCGGCGATGCAGTGCATGCGAATAGGACTTTGATAGTCAATTTCTTGAAAGATTCCCTGCAATTGGCTATAGTAAGTATGAATGGGTGCACCATTCTACTTGATAGTGAATATCCATCTGTTCAAATAAAAAGGGTAAGATTCATCTATGCCATCATAGTATTCTACTACAAAAAACGAAATAGACGACGGCAATCCACCGTCGTTGTGATGCTTTGAAAACCATCGTTAAATCGATCAACGTTTTTTGAACGTCAAACTACGACGGTTTTTCACCGTCGTTGTTAATCTGTAAAGACGACGTTTTTACCTAAAAACCATTGTCATTTTCTTGTAAAGACGACGGTTTTTCCAAAAACTGTCATTATTTTTATGTACAGACGACGCTTTTTGGAAAACCATCGTTATTATGGTAAAGACGACGGTATTTTGTTAAATACCGTCCTTGCTTGTCTATAAAGAAAACGTTATTTTGTGAAAAACTGTCGTTGTTTTGATGTAAAGAGGACGCTTTTTGGAAACCCGTCGTTATATATGGTAAAGACGACGGTATTTTGTTAAATACCGTCATTGATTGTATGTAAAGACAACATTATTTAAAAACGGTGGTTGATTATATGTACAGACGACGGTAAAACTATCGTTTATTTTCTTTAAATATGTCGTCTAATAAGTTCCCAAGCTGTTACATTGTAGCTTTTGTTTTCTATGATTCCATACAATGATTTTAACTAGGAAACAGATTATAATGATTCAAAATTTATTTCTTTCATAAAACTTGAAGATTAATAGTCATTACATAGTCAACCAATCTTTATTCTATTACATACATACTTCCTACCTATAATTAGAAATAAAGGAGCTACATGTTGCTCACAAATTCTACTAATTTGATACGAACTTCATCAATTTGTTCTTGGATGTATGAGTTAGCTCCGCCTTCCGTAAACATTTTCCAAGTTATTGTATTCCCCTCCACCGTAGCAATATCAGCAACAAAAGGTCCCTTCTACAAGACTTGCAAAATTAACATCAAACTCCACAAACACAAACCTTATCCAAATATATTTCACAGGTCCCTTCTTATGAATCAAGCCAAAAGATTATAATGCTAATATTAAACACTTGATAATAATAAGTCAAAAAACTTGAAATGCTATGCTTGAAGCTTTGTGACAAAGTGACGACTCAAGTGGAGCAAGGCAAAGAAAGTTGTATGCTAATACCTTTCTTGACCACTGAGTAAGCTTCCTTGTAGCAGCAACCTGTACTAAATCAGAAAAACAAAAACAAAATTTTAAATAAAGCTACTACGGCCTACACTCTAATAATACAGCACTTCTTTATTTATTTATTTTTTGTGGAATTAAGTAGTATGTTTTGAAAAATAAAATAGGAATTTTTCATAAATAAAAATAAAGAAAAAGAAAATAAGAAGTCAATGTAGCAAATCAGTAGCGACTCACGCAGAGAAGGCTCAACAAAGTGAGCAATGAGACGAGGTCTTGAGTTCATCTCTGAATCAACACACGGAGGAGGACCCTCTCCCTTTTATCCTTGTCCTACTTGCCCCTGTACATAGACAAAATTTTAAAAAACAAAAATAATAAGACTTCACAACATGTTTCAATCTATGTCTTTCAATTCCCAAACAACAAACAATTGGTTGTTTTATTCACAAAAACTACTCGAATTTACCGACATACAACGAATAATATGAGGAAAGAAAAGAAGTGATTACATACCTTCTCAAGTTTAGTAGCAATATTTTTAATGCATTTCATGTAGTTTAGTCAAGTACATCTCCTTCATGAGTTTGATCTGCAAATTCAAGTCAGGAAGACAAAGATGATTAGAAAGAACATTGCAGCCACATGCTTGTAGACGGCATAATTATCACTAGATTTCATTGTTTCTTACTAGCACATGCGCTTATTCAAGTTTTTCTACACAATGCTTTAAAATACAGTGCCAACAGAAAAGATATCGTGCATGGAACCATGAATTCATATATGCTTGTATGTAATGTAGGGAGAGCTTCAAATAACTTCACAACTGATGATTGGTAGTTTACCAAAGCAGCAACCACAAGGAATCTTAACTAGAATTCTGTAATAGCACAGTAGCTCCCGTTTTTGGAATTACCTTCTTCTGAAAATATATAGATTTATTTTCCCTATACTGCTAAAAAATGCTTCTCATATATTCATAGTCTATTACAATTGATGAGTGTTACTCCAGCATCAACTGACAGTCCAAAATAGACCCCGAGTATAATCCTTACCAAGATAGCCAAACCTGCCCTAAACTTCTATTTTAATAATATAGAATATGTGAAATTCATCTTATTTCTACTGAAAACAACAGAAAATTTGATTGTCTAACCATACAGGTTCTTACTGCTATGTCCTGTTATCCTAGCAACTACAAGCATTCCTACTAATCAAGCTTGAATATAATCTTTAGAACTGCTCAAGTGGCCAATCCCTCTAAAACCCTGCCTTCTGTTCCCTTTTCAATCCTATGTCACATATAAAAGGCAATTTCTTCTAAACAATGTACTCCTAGGTTTTGTTACCTGCTATGTCCTGTTTTCTACTACTAAAGAATTTAATTGCCATTCTGGTGTTAAAGCAGCTCATTACATTCACAATAAAACTATATATAATCAAATACACAAATAGATAAAACCCGGATTTCTTTTAATCTTATATCCATTCATTGGACAATAAGTCAGGACATCTCACTTTTTGATAGACCTCCTATTGCCAATCATCGCCAGTTGCATGTCCACTCTGGGCTGAAGCTACAAAATATGCAGAAGTAGGTCAGCATTTGCACATTGTAATGAAACTTAATCATGACAGTAAATAAAAAAAAAAAAAAAAAAAAAAAAAAAAAAAAGCCTGCAGAATAGTGAAATAGAATTATGGAAAACTACCATTCTATATAAAATCCCTAAAATAGTCGATGGTGTGGATTTCATACCAGCTTTTTATACCCAAAACCCTAATTCCTAAATCAACTCACCAGCATCTTTATTGGAAGAACCTAAATCAAACAAAATAAAACATACACAGTTTCTTTGATAATAAACCAAACATAATAAAACATACCCATTGCAAAGTGTTCGCGAGACAATCATAAGCAGATCTGACATTAAAACCCTCACTGATCCATTCATGAATCATAAAAAATTAAAATTAAAAAAATCAAAAAAGGAGAAGAAGAAGAAGAAGAAAACAGAGAGAGAGAGAGAGAGAGGGAGAGAGATTACTTGTAGTTTTTCCCTTCAAATTAGTGCTTGAGCTTGGTTCGTTTTCAGAGGGAGAGAATAAATTTTGGCGAACGAGGCGAGTTCGGTGGACTGAACGCGGTGAGCTTGGTGGACTGAACGACACGATGGAGATGGTGATCTCGGTGAACTCGGTGTCCTGAACGGCGTGACGGAGATAACGATCTCGGCAAGTTCGGTGGATGACGAGAGGGAGATGTGCTTCATCGATGTGAGAGACTTTGAGATAGTACAGTGTTTGAGAGAGCGAGTGTTTTCTGAAAACCGCCGCGCTCGCGAACTTAAAGTGAATTTTTGTTTAGCGCCTCCTAAAAAACACGACGGTCCTAATAAGGTACCGTCGTAATTTTAAAAATCAACCTGACATATTGGTGTATTAGGTACTTTACTAGGACGGTGTTATAAAATTGGTCGTCTTTTAAAACACCACAATAGTTTTTATATAAATGGTCATCTATTGGATGTCATATTTAAATATAATAATTTTTTTTTTACAGCATTCTAGATTTCTTTGGTGGTCCTTAACCGGATAAAAAGACCCATTAATTATGGAGTCATGGAGTTGATTAGCCATCCCTTGACCTGAAAGTTCTCCGTACACTATTTGTGGTAGGTTGGAGATGTCTCAACAGGATTCAGAATGGCACTGATTAGGTATCCCAATTTTTTCGCGTGCAACAATTTTTTTCGCGTGCAACAATCTGCCTCTTCATGACTTGAGACGATTCGCATAGTTGGTCTCATTCATGATAACTTGAGCAAGGAGTGGGGAGTTGTCACTCTGAATTGTGACAATTCGAGGGTTGGAGGTGGAAGATCCTTGAGAGAGAGAGAGAGAGAGAGAGGGAAATTCGTTTGGCATCGCATAACTATATGAGATTTTGATATGGGTTTGTGTTTAGGAATTTGATAAGGGGATTTGATTTGAGAGTTTAGGAATTTGATCTAGGATCGACCGCTTTGATGCGATGCTAAGAATAAGAATATGGTTTGAATGTTTGGATGACTATATTCTTCTCTGTAAGGAGGAATATATGGGTTTACAAATGTGCTTTACAAGGAAATAGATACATGAATCAAATAGGAGAATATCTCTTAATTGTACAAGAATTGTCTACTATACTGAAAATGAAATAAATCACCTAATGAACTTAGAAAATAAATCTCAGTGATTTGTTAGGTTAATTCACATCAACATATTTAACTATATACTATTATCACATAAAGATAAGAGAGAAATCAAATTTTATTACTTGTTACATAGCTACAACAAAGATCCGTTTAGGGATGCAATTTTTATTAGTACAACATAGATCCGATAGTGGTATTGAGTACCAATTTACAATACCTAGTACTACAAGCTAATTCCAGATATCGGACAATCTTTTTTCCCTTGCGTGATTATTTCCCCAAGTCCAAAGTCCTCCAAGCATGCCCCATTTTTAAACCCCATATTGTGGTGGACTGCCTCGAATGGTTTAGTGATACTAGTGCCATAATTTTCATTAAAACATTGCCCTACACTACTACATTTTTACTATTTGCGCGACGAAGAGAATTTCTTCGCGCAAAGATACATTCAGTCACACATACGTATGCGCGACAGAAAATTCGTCGCGCACAATCCGTCGCGCAAAGAGCGTGAAAAAAGAATTTGGGCGACCAATTTTTTGCATCCGTCGCTCAAATCTGTGCGACGTAGCACCTTCGTTGCAGAAAAGGTTTAGGGACGACACTAATGTTCTACGCACAAACCTTTGCGCGACGAAAGTGTTTTCATCACGACAACAATGCGCGACGAAAGTGTCTTCGTGTCGCAGACATTTGCGCCACGAAACGTCTTTCGTGTCCCCAATGTTGCGCGACGAAAAAGTCGTTGTCGTGCATACATTTTTTGCACGACGAAATTCGTCGTCGCGCAAGAAGAAATTAAGTGCATTTAAATTTTTTTTTACGTTTTTTTCTTTCTAAAAATTGAACTTGCGCGACGAGAAATGTTTCATCTCACAAAATTAAATATATTATTTAAATTTAATATTACGTTTTTTTTTGGTAAACAAATTAATTTGGTTTTTTTTTGGGTAATAAAATGAAATTGCAATAAAGAAATGAATTGTAAAGAAACATTTATTATATTAAAAAAATAATAATAAATGTATACAACAAGAGAAATATTTAAAAAATAATTATGTAAATAAAAACTAATCAAATAATGTTCCAAAATCTACATGGTCATCTGGCATATACGGCTCGGAGGTCTGGGGCTGGGGGTTTACAAGGGTCGTGGTCTGGTGGGGATGCTCGGGGTGGACGGGCTCGGAGGTCGGCACACCAAAATTCAGGATTGGAATGTCGGACCGCGCGAGAGACTGCAGAATCACCGACATCTGACCCTTAAGCTCGGCCACCCGTGATATCAAAACAGTCACCTGACTGTTTGCCTGCAACGATGACCGAGGTCTAGGTTCCCTCTGTCGTGCATTCCCCATCCCGCGACAATATATTCCCGGCCTCATCCCGAGAGTCTGATCCAATGTCTCCGTCAAGATCTGAAACCCAGCATCCTGTGGAGGATTCACGGACTCGATCGGAGTATCAGGAGGAAGTTAGGAGGTGGACTCCTGAAGAACTAACTGGCCCCTCTCCACCATTGTCGTCTGTTTAACATAGCATCAAATATAAATTAAAAAATTCATATAATAACCTTTAAACTTGAATGCGTAACATAAGAATTAAAATTAAATAATATTTACATGAAGGGACTCGGCCAACTCATTCCCAGGTCGAACATAAACGTCGCCAAAGACGTCGATCTCTGGGAATTTGGACCCCTCCTAAATTGAACACGAGAAGAAAAATATTAGTACGAAAAAAATTAAATTAAGAATAATGACATATTAAAAATTAAATTAATATTAATTTATTATTACCCGCCGCCGTGCATCCATCCTATATGAGAAGGGCCTGGAACCTAAATGGTGGAGAAAAGTCTTCTTCTTCCTGTTGCCCTTATTGACTTTGGCTTTATTCTGTTATACAAAAAATAAAACGTATTAGAAATTCATTAGTAAGAAATCTATAATAAATTTGAAATTCATATTACAAATTACCACAAAATTGGGCGCCTGAAAATGAGCACAGAGCCACGCCCAACTATCCTCCCGCCCCTCAAGCTCCTTCGGGCAACCCTCTTGAAGAGTGACTTCCGGATCATCAAAAGCCTCAAAATGGTGGTGCAAGTCGCTCTTCCACTGCCAACGACTCGTCGTCGAGGTCCTCCAAGACTTCCATACCGACAACTGGCCACGCACCTCAGTCTTGATCTCGTCGAGCATGACCTTCCAAGACTTCCATTGCATCGGGCAATGGGAATGCACGACGTGACCAATGTCATTGGCCAAGGAGCTATGCAACTCCGGCTTCGGTGCAGCCCGATGTCGCTCGTCGTATCCGATGTTGATACGATTGTTGGTCACCCGGGTGACCTTCGCCATCTTCAACTGCCGACACGGCCCTCGGGTGTTCTTCTTGGCTGCAAAGAAATATGACATTAATAAATAACAAATTTAACTACAATTTCATTAATACACATACAAATTAATAAAAGGTACAGCATACGTGACCTAGGGTTTGCGAGTTCGGAGTATCCGGGACTCCGATCCACGATCCGTTGAATCCTACATGATCCTAGAAATACAATGTACAACATACGTGAGTTTGAGTTCAATCCAACAGTCCGAACATATCAAACTCGGAAATCACACATTAGGCAAAATCCGTTAGAGACTCAAACAGTAACCAAATTCGAATTCGAACACACCTACGCGCTCGTGACAACTAGGGGAGTGCACTGGGACCCAATGCACGACTACTACAGTACCCTACGCGCCACCACACACGCCGGCAACGCATGGGTGTCCAAAGCGATAATAATCGCCGGAAAATTCTAAAAACTAAGGGCCAAGGTTCCTACCCTAGGTTGAAAACATGAATTTAAGCCACTTTTGTTCTCGGACCTACCTCGAAAAATGGCCGGAAGTGACCGGAATCCAAATTTAAAAATCGGCCGAACTTAGGATTTAAATTCTAAATACCAAAACTAACAATTACCAAAATCCTACCCAATCATCAGCTAGAGCACAAAAAACAGTCCAGAAACCATACCTCAGCTGTTGAAATTAGTGACCAGAGGAGAGAGAACCACGCCGGAGAAGACTCTGCAAAAACAGGGCAATTCCGACGGGGTAGTGGCTGAGGTGACGGCGGGGAAGCTTCGAGTTCGAAGGTTGTGGCGGCAAGGTCCAAGTTCCGACGGGGTAATGGCTGAGGTGACGGCGGAGAGAGAAGAGGGTTTAGGGTTCTGAGATAGGAAACTGAGGAAGGAGGCAGTCGTGACGTTTCTGAAATTTTAGTCGATCTTGCGCGACGAAGAACAAAATGCATCGCGCAAAATGTTTAAATGCATCTTGAGCGACGAAAGATATGTTTTGAGTCCGCCAAAATTTGGGATTAGGGTTTAGGGTTTGTGCGATTTTGCACGACAAACACTAACCACTGCCGCGCAAGGATATCTAAATTTACTTTGCGCGACGCAACAAAGGCTTATTTCGTCACGCAATGTTGTCAGTCCGCCAAAAATTGGGATTCGGTTTTAGGGTTTGTGCATTTTGCACGACGAAAGAAGGACAACGTCGCTTAAGGTTGTTATTTCGCCAAAATTTGGGGTTTAGGGTTTATAGGGGGAGAGAGGAGGTGAAAGGTCTGCCGATATTGCGCGACGAGGATTTACATTCGTCGCGCAAGCTTGTGTTCTATATACTTTGCGCGACAAATATTCACTTACTTCGTCGCGCAAGCTTGCGATGCGCCATAAATTTTTATAAGTGTTCAATGGGAAGAGAGTGAAATGGCTAGCAAGCCTGTGATAATGATGCATACACAAACGATAAGGATTATATATACCTTTCTATTGGATACATCCAGCGATAGTTGACAGGACCAGCAAGCAATGCCTCTTCTGACAAGTGAACCATCACATGCATCATACTTATGAAGAAAGCTGGAGGGAATATCATCTCAAACTTGCATAAGACTTAGACAATGTCATGGCGCAACTGAAACATGTCTGTCTTTCGCAATGTTTTTGCCGTCAATTGGGAAAAAAATCTGGACAACAACATGATTGGCTTCTAAGTCCAGTAAATTTACCGCCGTCAACATTCACGCAACGTGCGATATTAGAAGCATACCCATCGGGAAACTTTAAGGATGATACAAACTTTAGAAACTCTTTTTTGTCATTAGGTTTCATAGAAAAGAATGCAATATCCCTTCTAGCTTTATCACTGTCCCTATTCATCCATAAACCCCTTCATATGTCCATTCTTTCCAAATCTAGACGAGCTTTGATCGTGTCCTTTGTCTTGCCCTCGATATCTAGAATCGTGCCCACCAATGTGTCGAGTACATTTTTCTCAACATGCATCACATCTAGATTGTGCCTCAATTTAAGTTCGGCCAATAAGGGAGCTTAAAAAACATAGGCTTGTGCGTCCAGTTCATATGTGTAGCAGGTCTAGTCCGACTAACTGTTTTCCCGAAACTGAGCAAAATCCAAACGGTTCAGCTATTCAAAGATCTCATCACCGGACCATTCTCTAGGTCTGAGGCGATGCTCTGTGTTCCCGTCGAACTCTTTATCTTTTTCCTGCCACTCGTGGTCCCATGGCAACCATCGCCGATGGCCAAGGTAACAAACTTTTCCAGCGTGCCAACCAGAAGTTACATCTTCCTTGCATATAGGACATGCCATATAACCCTTTGTGCTCCACCCAGAAACCATTGCATATGCTAGAAAAACATTCACAGTCCACATAACTGCTGCCCGCAAAGTGAACATCTTCCCAATTGATTTATCGTACGTGCTGATGAGTCGATTTTATATTATATATTTAGCCTCATTCTTAGTATATTTTGGTTAATATTTTGGAAGAATTTTGATACTTTGAATTATATTTCCAATATAGGACTTTCGACTTCCTCTGGAGCAAAACATAATCAAATGGACGAATTTTGGAGTAATTCCAGTTGGAGGACGTTCATGAGCCACTTAGCTTGATCGTATCAAAATATCAGATTTTTCCACCAAGCGATGATTTCCTGGCGAATAAATGAAGGAGCGATGTGCAGTGCTGGAATAGTGACGTTTTGGGCTTGTATTGCGTTTTTGGAGCCCAAGATGACCTCGGATGGGTTCGTGGCCTTCAGGAGAAGTGTTCGGAATATTTTTATCTTTAAAACGAGCTATCTTGGGCCATATTTGGAGGAGATTTGAGACCAAAACGTGGCTGACCAGATTATTGGCAGATTCTCCTAATCCAATTTGGACTTTATTTCCTAGTCTTATTTTATTTTAACTTAGTTTCCTTGTGGGGATTGGGTAGCTAGGTTTTAGGAGGTATTTAAACTCCTTTTCACAGCAATTTAGAAAACTTCCTTTTTACTTCTTTTTGGCTTTTGGAGCAATTGCTAGGGTTTTGGATTTTCGCGACTTTCAGGTGTTTTCATTCTTTTTCTTCTTAATGATATCTTCTTGGATTTCAATTGTGAACATGCGTAACTAACTCTCTTTTGCTAGGGTGAGGCCACGAACCTTAGCAAGAATATGTAGTTTCTGTCCAATTTGCTTATGATTATATGCATGCAGGTTTTCGAATTATTCGTCACTGGGTTAAACTATCTAAGTGTCTTGATGCTTGATCACCATTAGGATGTTTAGAAAAGTAATTTGATGCAGTTTTGGTTGGAGGTCGGTCCCTGAAATTGACGAAGGCTTCTCGTGATTAATATGTGCAAGTTCACTTAGGATGAATACCACGTCTTAAGGGTTGCATGGTTTTTCAAAAGGTTTCACAGAACTTAATGAGTCATGTATGTTTAGATTCGATCTGAATACCACAGACGGATTGCATGTATGATATACGCTCTATGTTGGGGGTCCAAGTAGGCATATATTAGGAATACCTAACCTCCGAAATATGCATGTATAGGTCATAAGTAATTGGGGGAACTATATAGAATTGTTAAGGTGACGGCGGATCCCTAGTGCTTTAGTAATTTGATTTCTAAAAACACAACTTCTTCTCTTGCTCTTAGCTTTAATTTTGCATATTGCCTTATTTTTATTAGTTAAATTCCTTTTAATTTAAGGTCTTCAAATCAAACATCTCAACTTTCTCTTTTGCAATAATTAATTAGAATTTGGTTGCTACGAGTTATTTAATAATCCCTGCGGAGAACGACCTTGCTTGAATCATTTATACTACAATAACCTTGTCATTCTTGCAAGTTTTGTAGGAGTTTTAACCCTGTTTGCGCAGGTACTAAAAAGCCTATCAAGAAATTGGCGCCGTTGCCGGGGATTATTTAAAATAATTCGTTCAAATCAGATTCTGCATTAATTATTGCATATACCATACAAAAAAAAAAAAAAAAAAAAAAAAATAATTTCGTTTTTATTTATTTTTGCAGATCACAGCAAGGCAGTGCAGATTACAATCTGTGCATGGTCAGCACACGTTCAGCAGTTCAGCAATTGTTTCCGTTTGATCCAGAACCTGAGCAATCTTTAAGGAGGAGACACAGGGAGCAAAATTTGCTGCGGGTTCCTTCACTGCAAGGGACTTTTCTGCAGTCTTTATATTCTGAGGACCTGCACAGTACAGAAACAATGGCTTTTGTTATTCCAGAGGCTGGTGACCCTTTGGGTAATTCTTTAACAGCTCATGCCACTAACATACCAGGTTGCATTACATATCCAGCAGTGGAAGAAGGGTCTACATTCGAAATCAAGCATCACATGTTGAGTATTCTACCTACATTTCATGGGTTATCAACCGATGATCCTAACATGCACATTGCAGAATTTTTAATGGGATGCAAGAATATTTTGGTGAAAGGATTCTCAGCTGAATCTATTAAGCTTCGTCTATTTCCTTACACATTGAAAGATCAAGCAAGGAGATGGCTCCTCACACTTCCATCTGGAAGCATTAGCACTTGGAACCAACTCAGTGAAAAATTCTTAAACAAATATTATCCAGCTTCAAAGACTCTCGACATGAGAACTCAAATTTTATCTTTTGCCCAAAAACCAAATGAAGAGTTTCATGAGGCGTGGGAACGGTTTAAAGAGTTGAATAGAAAATGTCCACATTCTAGTATTAGCAGTACGGATCAAGTGCATATATTTTTCAGAGGGTTAAATATGACAACCAAAACTCTTGTCAACGCTTCATGCGGAGGATCATACAAGGATAAAAATGCACAAGAGGCTTGTTTATTATTTGAAAAAATGGCAGCAGATACACAGCAATGGGCAGTTGAGCAGCCACAATCAAGGTCTGTTTTTGAGATATCCAATGGTTCTCCATATATGTCGGCACAAATTGAAAAAATGGAGAAAAAGCTTGAAAGATTTGATGCAAAATTTGACATGTTATTACAAAGAATTCCAGGTTCACAGGTTGCTGTACAGCAACCTTTACCAGCTGCCTGTAGCATTTGCAATGTGACAACCCATGATTTTTTGAGCTGTCCGCATAAAGATGCTTATCCGGAATTTGCAGCGGAACAAGTTAATGCATTTAATAACTTTCAGCGTCCACGATATGACCCGTATTCAAATGTTTACAACCCGGGTTGGAGAGATCATCCTAATTTTAAGTGGGACAGAGATCAACCTGCAAGGCCACAATTTCAACAACAGGTACAGCAAACTGCTGCGCCTAAGGCTGCTTGGGAGGTTGCAATTGAAAAATTAGCAAATGCCACCAGTCAAGAATTCCAAAATCTGCAGGCAACAGTGAAAAACATAGAAAAACAAATGGGGCAGATTGCATTCCAAGTTTCAGAAAGAGCACCAGGTACATTTCCTAGCCAAACGGAAAATAATCCAAGGGGAGGCGCAGATTGTAAGGCAGTTCGAGTTCTACGTTCGGGTAAAAGTTATGACAATAGAGGTGAAATTTGTGTTGGAAATTCGCAGGCAGCATCACAGCCACAAACAGATTCAGGAAATTTTGCAGAATCTGATATTGTTACAGATTCTACAGAGTCTATGGGCAGATCTGAAAACAGTGCAAAAATTGCTGCAGAAACTGCAGAACGTGTTTATGTGCCTCCAATGCCTTATCCCGAAAGGTTGAAGCCCAAAGTTAAAGATCAACAGTTGACAGATTTTATGAAGACGTTGGCCAAAGTTCAGATCAATCTCCCATTGATTGATGCAATTAAGAACATTCCATCTTATGCCAAGTTTTTAAAGGATGTTTGCACAAAGAAAAAGAAGCTCGTGGATTTTGAAAAAGTTATTCTTACAGAACAGTGCAGCGCAGTTTTATTACACAAACTGCCTCCAAAGAAACAAGACCCAGGGAGTTTTACAATTTCATGCACAATTGGAAATTCTAATTTTAAACGTGCTTTAATTGATTTGGGTGCCAGTATTAATTTAATGCCTTTTTCTGTTTTTCAGAGACTAGGACAAGGAGAAATCAAGCCTACATCAGTTATTCTACAACTGGCGGACCGTTCAGTTGCTTACCCTAGGGGAATTATTGAAGACCTCATTATTAAAGTGGATAATCTCTACCTTCCTGCAGATTTTGTGGTCTTGGATATGGATGAAGATATGCAAACACCGATTATTTTGGGGCGTCCATTCATGGCTACTGCTCGAACCTTAATTGATGTTGAGGCTGGAACACTTACACTTAGAGTGCAAGATCAGTCCGTTGTTTTCAGTTTATTCGAAATAACCAAAAGGCCAACTGATGTGCAAGATTGTATGCGTGTTGACATGTTAGACAGCTTAATGCATGCTGAAATTATGCCCCGTTTGACATCAGATCCATTGTTAAAGGTGTTGCATGGGTTGGAGAATAAAAACACTGAAGATGAAGAGGTTTTTGAGTATGTTTCAGCTTTGGAAAGTGTTCCTTTTCTACACCCCCGTTGGAGGCACGTTTTTGAGAGTTTAGGGGAACCGAAAAAACCATTGCAGCCCTCTAAAGTACAGCCACCTAAACTGGACTTAAAAGTACTGCCAGGACACTTGAAATACGCTTATCTGGGTGCAAATTCTTCGCTGCCAGTTATTATAGCTGCTGACTTATCATCAACAGAAGAAGAAAAATTGCTGCGTATTTTAAGAAATTATCAAGATGCAATCGGTTGGACTATAGCAGACATTAAAGGGATCAGCCCTACAATTTGCATGCACCGAATTCTGATGGAAGATGGAGTAAAGCCCACCATTGATGCTCAACGTCGTTTGAATCCAATTATGAAAGAAGTTGTTCGTACTGAGGTTATGAAGCTTCTAGATGCTGGGATGATCTATCCCATTTCAGATAGTAAGTGGGTTAGTGCAACTCAAGTGGTGCCCAAGCGTTCTGGAATTACAGTTGTGAAGAATGACAATAATGAACTTGTGCCTACACGTTTGACTACTGGGTGGCGTATGTGTGTTGATTACAGAAAGATCAATACGGGCACTAGAAAGGATCATTTTCCATTGCCTTTCACTGATCAAATGTTGGAAAGGTTGGCTGGTCGTGCGTTCTATTGTTTCTTGGATGGATATTCAGGGTACAACCAGATTCCAGTTGCACCTGAAGATCAAGAGAAGACAACCTTTACATGTCCTTTTGGGACTTTTGCATATCGAAGAATGCCCTTTGGTTTGTGCAATGCTCCTGCAACGTTTCAACGATGCATGATGAGCATATTTTCCGGATTGGTTGAACAGGTAGTTGAAGTGTTTATGGATGACTTTTCTGTTTTTGGGGATTCTTTTGATGAATGTTTGAACAATTTATCCTTAGTTCTTGACAGATGCATTAAGACAAACCTTGTTTTAAATTGGGAAAAGTGTCATTTCATGGTTAAGCAGGGGATTGTCCTAGGCCACTTGATTTCTAACAGGGGTATTGAGGTTGATAAGGCCAAAATTGATGTAATTGCAAAGCTGCCACCACCGACAGCTGTTAAAAGTGTTCGATCTTTTCTTGGTCATGCTGGGTTTTACAGACGGTTTATCAAGGATTTCTCCAAGATTAGCCGACCATTGTGTAATTTGTTGGCTAAGGATGCTCCTTTTGTCTTTGATGATGCTTGTTTGGAGGCTTTCAACAAGTTAAAGACACTCCTCACTACAGCACCCATTATTGCAGCACCTAATTGGAGTTTACCTTTCGAATTGATGTGTGATGCTTCAGATTACGCAGTAGGAGCGGTTCTTGGACAGCGGAAAGATAAGCTTCCCCAAGTCATTCATTATGCTAGTCGAACTCTCAATGACGCACAGCTAAACTATGCGACCACAGAGAAGGAATTGTTGGCAGTTGTTTTTGCATTAGAAAAATTTCGGTCTTACTTAGTTGGGGCTAAGGTGATTGTTTACACAGATCATGCAGCTTTGAAGTATTTGTTGTCGAAGAAAGACGCTAAGCCTCGATTAATTCGTTGGATTCTTTTACTGCAAGAGTTTGACTTAGAAATCAGGGATAAGAAGGGTAGTGAAAATGTTGTGGCTGATCATTTGTCCAGGTTGATTGTGCCAATTTCTGCTGAAGATGACTTGCTGCCTTTAAATGAAAGTTTTCCGGATGAACAGCTGTTTGCTGCCCATATCATTTCACCATGGTTTGCTGATTTAGTTAATTATTTGGCTAGAGGGGTACTTCATCCAGATTTTACTTTCCAGCAGAAAAAGAAATTTTTGGCAGAAGCAAAGTATTATTTTTGGGATGAACCATATTTATACAAATATTGTTCCGACCAAGTTATTCGCAGGTGTATTCCAGAAGAAGAGCATGAAAGTGTTTTAAAGTTTGCACATCAGTATGCTTGTGGGGGACATTTTGGCCCTAAACGGACAGCAGCTAAAATCTTGCAGAGTGGATTGTTTTGGCCTACTCTCTTCAGGGATGCTAATAGTTGGTGTAGATCTTGTGATCGTTGTCAAAGGGTGGGTAATCAGTCCAAAAGAAACGAAATGCCACAACAAAGTATATTAGTTGTTGAATTGTTTGATGTTTGGGGTATTGATTTCATGGGACCATTCCCAATGTCCCATGGCAATCAGTATATTTTGGTGGCTGTTGAATATGTTTCTAAATGGGTCGAGGCAATTGCAGCACCAACCAATCAAGGATCAGTTGTTCTGAAATTCCTCCAGGGGGTAATTTTTCCACGATTTGGAACACCGCGTGTCATTCTAAGTGATGGGGGTAAGCACTTTGTCAATAGATCGTTTGCTACGTTGCTAGCTAAGTATGGGATCACCCATCGTGTTGCTACTCCTTATCATCCACAAACATCAGGACAGGTTGAAGTTTCAAATAGAGAAATCAAGCGAATTCTTGAAAAAACAGTTAGCTCGACTCGAAAAGACTGGAGTTTGAAATTGAGTGATGCTCTCTGGGCGTACAGAACAGCATTTAAAGGCCCAATTGGGATGTCCCCATTTCGGCTGATTTATGGTAAGGCTTGTCATTTACCTATGGAGCTAGAGCATAAGGCATTTTGGGCTATTAAAGAGTTGAATTTTTCTTATGATTCTGCTGGAGAAAAACGTAAATTGCAGATTAATGAGCTTGAGGAAATTCGTAATGATGCTTATGAGAGCTCGCGCATTTACAAAGAAAAAACCAAGGCATTTCATGACAATCAGATTCTCAGAAAGAATTTTCATCCAGGGCAAAAAGTTTTGTTATTCAGTTCAAGGTTGAAGTTGTTTCCAGGGAAGTTAAAGTCTCGTTGGAATGGCCCATATTTGGTTACTAAGGTTTATCCTCATGGGGCGGTTGATATTACAAGTGAAATTAATGGCAACACATTCAAAGTGAACGGTCACAGGCTGAAACCATATTTGGAGTCACCCTTCGATATTGCACGCGAGTCACTGACTCTGAAGGAACCAGTGATTTGACCACCAGGCTTCTGCAAAGTCTAGCTACAGACTTAAAATAAAGCGCTCATTGGGAGGCAACCCAATTTTTCTATACTCTTTACTCCTTTTAATTCAAAAAAAAAAAAAAAAAAAAAAAAAAAAAAAAAAAAAAATTTCTTTAACTAGATGTTTTTATTCTCTTTCTACTCATAACACATCATTGATTCAATGCAGGATACAACAATCAGCAGCCAACATCAAAAGCAGACAAATCCTATGCTGGAATCCTGCACCCAGCAGCAAGTCTACACTGGGAAAGACACAACATTCAGCAGCACACATCAAATGCAGAAAAATCCTAGGCTGGAATCCTGCACCCAGCAGCAAGTCTACACAGGGACCGACACAACATTCAGCAGCACACATCAAATGCAGAAAAATCCTAGGCTGGAATCCTGCACCCAGCAGCAAGTCTACCAAATTTCCAACAACACAAATTTGCAGGGATTCGAAATTATACCTATGAGATGCACGGATTGGGGGTCCTCAGGGCTTTGTGCTGTTTTGTCCTTTGAGCTTGTGTGCTGACTGCCGTCTCTTGGATCTGCAACTTTCCTACACTGTGCACATGTCGAAATTATACACACTCATCTATACATCAACCACAGCTCCCAAATCAGGACCCAAAACAAATTCTGGAATTAATCTTACCTTCGAATGGATATTGGATCTTGAAATCATCCTTGCAAGATTAGTGGTCAAGTGGTTCTTGGGTGACTCAATGTTCTTTTTGGACGAAATCCCATTAGACAACGTTCTTCTCCAGCAGCTTTTTGAAGTCACCAATCTCAACTTCAAGCTTGGCCACATGGGATTCCAATTCTTTGACAATTCAAGTGGAGCATCCCATAGCTGGTGTCATTTCCAATTTGGGTTGGGAATCAAACAGATGGCGTAATTTATATTCTAGGGTTCGAAATCATACCTACAAGATGCACCGATCTGGGGTCCTTACTGGTGGAGAATGGACTCTGGTTCGGATTCAACTTGCTTTCATCTTGGAACAGGTTAGCATCTGGTGACATGGATGGAGATATATCTGAAATTGAGGAGTCAAGAAATTCAAAAAAACATATAGAGATTCAAGTGCATCAGATAATTCCACCCCACAGAGAGATAAGGCCCTTGCGTTCTTGAGAAAAATGAAGAAGGGCGAGAGCGCAAACCTGCGTTTTCTGAGCGAACTGAAGAAGTGAGAGCGTTGAGATGAATGGGTCTACAACCTCCAGTTTTCTCGCAACCAACAGAGATGCAATTAGATCTGTCCACATGACACCCGCTGCGGCTACACCAATTATGTTGTCGAAATTGCTTGGACTTGACACAAGTCTGCCCTTGTCCGTGTTGGTCAGTGCGCTCGGCAATTCCCAGCTACTGGTCCTGCGTTCGAAACCTCCCAGGTGTGTTCGTTTTCTTGCTTTTTGTTCTTATTGTTTTTATTTCTTTATTTCTTTTTAATTTTTATTTATTTATTTATGTATTTTTCTCTCTTAGGGTATTTTCTTTATTTTTGTTGTCACATCTATTTATTTTCCACACCTTGAGGACAACGTGTGATTTAAGTTTGGGGGTGGGAAAATAAAGAAATTTAGATTTTTAATTTGTTGGGTCTTGTTTAAAATTTTCGTTTTTAAGTTCATATCCATAAATTATTTTAAACATTAGAACAAATGGACATGGTGAAGATTAGTCCCACAATAGAGTCTTTTCTGTTTATTATTGTTTAGACACTAATTCTTGAATTGTACTTTGAAATTTGCACATCACACCAACATGGTTTGTGGGGAGTGAGATTGAAATACTTATTGTTTGTCCCAGTGTGTTTTAATTTTTGTTCTATATAAATAAAGTTAGTATGTATTATCAAGTAATAATTGCCTCACCCAAAGCTTTGTTAGTAACCGGGCCAGTCCTGCCTAATCAGCAGTGATTCTCGAGACAAACGGTAGAGTTTTGGCATGAGGCAGGGTGGTTAGTTGGTTTCGTAGCCTTTCCAGCTTGAGTTAATAAGTCCTTAGGGGTGTTCTACACCTAGTGCCCTAAAGCCTTAGTGGTTTGGGAGTCATTGACTTAAAGCTCGCTACATGGGGTGGATCGAAAGCTTAAGGGAACCGACATTGCACAACCGCTACTGTTACTGAAAAAAAAAAAAAAAAAAAAAAAAAAAGTGTGTGAAGAATAAAAAGGATGAGAGATAAAGGTTTTAGTCGAGTTTCCTTAACTATGATGGTTCACTTTACACCGAAGGAAGTTTGTGAATTCTTTTCTAATTGATTCTAAATAGCTTAGACTCTGTGGTGGGATTAGTTGAATCTATTGAACAGATGTTCTAGTTTTTAAAATTTGCTATGGATTGCAACTTGAAGGTGGAAATTTTGTTCTGGTTAAAGTGTTAGCTAGATGTCTAGTTTGTTAAGTTTTTAATTTTGTTTGAGTCTTGTTTTGCTTGAGGACAAGCAAAAAGCTAAGTTTGGGGGTATTTTGATGAGTCGATTTTATATTATATATTTAGCCTCATTCTTAGTATATTTTGGTTAATATTTTGGAAGAATTTTGATACTTTGAATTATATTTCCAATATAGGACTTTCGACTTCCTCTGGAGCAAAACATAATCAAATGGACGAATTTTGGAGTAATTCCAGTTGGAGGACGTTCATGAGCCACTTAGCTTGATCGTATCAAAATATCAGATTTTTCCACCAAGCGATGATTTCCTGGCGAATAAATGAAGGAGCGATGTGCAGTGCTGGAATAGTGACGTTTTGGGCTTGTATTGCGTTTTTGGAGCCCAAGATGACCTCGGATGGGTTCGTGGCCTTCAGGAGAAGTGTTCGGAATATTTTTATCTTTAAAACGAGCTATCTTGGGCCATATTTGGAGGAGATTTGAGACCAAAACGTGGCTGACCAGATTATTGGCAGATTCTCCTAATCCAATTTGGACTTTATTTCCTAGTCTTATTTTATTTTAACTTAGTTTCCTTGTGGGGATTGGGTAGCTAGGTTTTAGGAGGTATTTAAACTCCTTTTCACAGCAATTTAGAAAACTTCCTTTTTACTTCTTTTTGGCTTTTGGAGCAATTGCTAGGGTTTTGGATTTTCGCGACTTTCAGGTGTTTTCATTCTTTTTCTTCTTAATGATATCTTCTTGGATTTCAATTGTGAACATGCGTAACTAACTCTCTTTTGCTAGGGTGAGGCCACGAACCTTAGCAAGAATATGTAGTTTCTGTCCAATTTGCTTATGATTATATGCATGCAGGTTTTCGAATTATTCGTCACTGGGTTAAACTATCTAAGTGTCTTGATGCTTGATCACCATTAGGATGTTTAGAAAAGTAATTTGATGCAGTTTTGGTTGGAGGTCGGTCCCTGAAATTGACGAAGGCTTCTCGTGATTAATATGTGCAAGTTCACTTAGGATGAATACCACGTCTTAAGGGTTGCATGGTTTTTCAAAAGGTTTCACAGAACTTAATGAGTCATGTATGTTTAGATTCGATCTGAATACCACAGACGGATTGCATGTATGATATACGCTCTATGTTGGGGGTCCAAGTAGGCATATATTAGGAATACCTAACCTCCGAAATATGCATGTATAGGTCATAAGTAATTGGGGGAACTATATAGAATTGTTAAGGTGACGGCGGATCCCTAGTGCTTTAGTAATTTGATTTCTAAAAACACAACTTCTTCTCTTGCTCTTAGCTTTAATTTTGCATATTGCCTTATTTTTATTAGTTAAATTCCTTTTAATTTAAGGTCTTCAAATCAAACATCTCAACTTTCTCTTTTGCAATAATTAATTAGAATTTGGTTGCTACGAGTTATTTAATAATCCCTGCGGAGAACGACCTTGCTTGAATCATTTATACTACAATAACCTTGTCATTCTTGCAAGTTTTGTAGGAGTTTTAACCCTGTTTGCGCAGGTACTAAAAAGCCTATCACGTGCGAATGCCATTTATCCATAAATCCTTCAACTCATCAACCAGCGGCCTTAAGTAAACATTGATTGACCTACCAGGATCCTCAGTTATCAAAACAGTCATCATCATGTATTATTTTTTCATGCATTTTCAAGGCGGCAAATTATATCGGAATACGAAAATCGGCCAAGTGCTGTGGTGTTGGTTTAGAACCCCATACGGATTGAACTCGTCAGTGGCAAGTCTCAATCTAACATTTCGGGGATCAGCAGCAAACTCGGGGAACGTTCAATCGAACTCTTTCCATGCCTCCCCATCTGCAGGATGCCGCATCACATCATCGTCTACTCGTTTTTCCTTATGTCATCTCATATCTGTGGCAATATGCGTCGACGTATACAATCGTTGCAACCTAGGTTTCAAGGGCAGATAACTCATGACTTTTTGTGGGATCTTAGTTGTTCTATTCTTATATGTCATTTTTAACCTCAGCTTATTGCATATAGGGTATGTATCCAACATTTCATGCTCTTTATAGAATAACATGCAATTGTTTTTGCAAGCGTGAATTTTTTCATAACCCAATCCAAGACCATTCAACACCTTCTGTGCATGTTTATGGTCTTTCGGCAAACAATTGTCCGTCGGAAGCATTCTCTTGAAAACCCCAAAAAGTAATCGAAACACATGTTCGACATACGATACTTTATTTTCCCGTGCATTAGCTCTACAATCGCCGTGAGAACGGAAAAGCTCTCACACCCCGGGTATAACTCTTGGTTGGCATTTTTTAACAGTTTTTCATATTGTTCAAACTCTGCACTGTCTATTGGTGTAAGCACGTCATCTTCCCCTTCCTGATTGATGTTGGTCGATGCAAATGGAAAAGCATCCTGTATAATATTCATGACTTGATCATTAGGTCCACAATAGGTTCAACATTGTCCACTCTTGTGGCATTTGAAGACGAAACATGGTCTAATTGTTCCCCGTGAAGGTTCCAAATGCTATATGTCTCAATCATTCCATTCCTTACTAAATGAAATCCAACATTTTCAATTGTCCCCCACAACGTGTTGTTACACCTCCGACAAGGACAACGGATTCTAGTTGCACCCGGGTTGTGTCTACGTGCAAACTCAATAAAATCCTCGATTCCATCCAAGTATTCGTCTGCGCATCTATTCGAGTTCTATATCCACCTTATGCTCATAATTCCTGAAACCACAATCACAACACAACAATCACAACTTCATACGAAGTTATAATGTCACCTTATGCCTCCGGTAAAGGCCCTATCCCATTCGGGAATGCATAGTCTTGCCACATAACCTATGGCTACATGAGATTAGATTTCGACGTGGATGAATTTTGGCAGCATCTCGATACAGTTCTTGAGGTGGGCATAGGTATAAATACCTAGGTACCACCCGAAGAACGTACTGAGATAATACCGAAATCTCCACAATCGAAACCTAATCATGTAGATTACGTGACAACACTATGAATTACCAAACTGTCCAAATAATGGGACAATTCAAGAATTAATTGGACCGCAATCATGCTTTACGCATCCATGCATGAAATCCAACTAATCTCAAACGGAAAACTAAGTGTTACTAAAAAATAATAATAAAAGTACGAAGTTAATTTCAATTAATTTCGTACATCACAACACATTGTGCTACGTGACGCACAATTTAACAACGTAATACAAATATAATTTCACAACAAAAATATAAATATAACAAACTAAATTCAACATAATGTAACTAATTTAATATAAAATGAATAAAATACCTTTTCAATCGTTCTCCACAATCGCAAATTACAAATATCTATAATAAGAACAAAATTAATACCGTTAGTATGAATTTACATTAATATTTTTAAACAAATGACAAATAATACTTACCCAATGAGCGTATTGAATTCCCGGCAGAGGCAGCAGCACAGACAGAGGAAGGTTCGAAATGGCAGAAATTTTGCAAAAATTATTTGTATTCTGCCTCTGCAATGGCAGAATGCAGAGATGTGGACGAAGGATTTTGAGTGACGAAACAACATTTTCGTCGCGCAAGCACCTATCAACATCGGGATTTTGCGCAAACTCTTAATGGTGTCGCACATGCGCAAATTTCCATCGCACAAGAACGTGCCGACATCAAACCTTGCGCGACGAATCATACTTCCGTCGTGCAAGTATTTGGCGCCAAAAAAAAAGGTATCGCACGTTTTTCTGTCCACCATTATGCGACGAAATACGGAACCGTCGCGCAAAGATATCTGATCGTCGCGCAAATATTTGGCGCCAAATAAATAAACCCGGTTTTTCCTTCCCCACTTTGCTTGACGAATGTTTTATTTGTCGCGCAAAGTTACTTTGAGCGACCAAAATATTCGTCACGCACATGTTTGGTGCCAAAAAAAAATTAACCAAGGTTTTTCTTCCCACTTTGCACGACGACTTTTTTGTTTGTCATGCTAAGGATCTTTGCGCGACCAAACGTTTCGTCGCGCATATTTTAATTTTTTTTGCCCGACGAATATTTTTTTCGGTCACTGGAGTCGTGCAAAGTTTCGTCGCACAAATAGTAAAATGTAGTAGTGTGGTTCATGAAAGAAACAATCCATCAATGATGATCCATTGCTTGATATTGCAGATATTATCGGAGGCTCGAAATCACCAGCAAGATGATTACCAAATGAATTAACATGATCTTGTCCAAATAATTGATTAGTCGGCCCAAAGTCCTTATTATGACCTAATAATGTTGATGAAGCCGCAGAAATATCATTATTGTTATAAGGATGATAAGCTTGTTTGTGTAATTCTGAATCTCTCACATATCTGGCTTCTGCTTGAAGCCTGACACTTTCCCACTGAGCTATGTGGTTGAGGTTTGAGTCGGTCTTTGGGTCATCAGTTGAACCACTGGCGAAGCCAAAGATGATATTCTTAGGCTTGTGGGTTACAGGGTCATAGCCTTTCAAGGCCAGTCGTTTCTTGAGACGAGAGTGCCAGTAGTTCTTGACCTCATTGTCTGTTCTCTTTGGTAAGTGCGCAGTAATAGCCGACCACCTAGCTCATATACATGGAACACAATATCAGTATCATAATTAAAGTGAGTTTTTTTATAATAAAAAATATCCAAAATGATCCTAACAAAAGAGCAGTACATCCCAAACATACATATAATGTGTACATGTAGAAGTGTTATGTATAATATATAGAGATTGTTTGGTACAGTTCAAATTTCTCATATACCTGGTACTTAGTTGATACTATATTCTTGATTATAGATTTGTGTACGAAATTAGGTAATGTAAATTGGTACAATATGTAATAGTAACACCTCGGGTTCAATGGCGGAGCAAGAAATTCATAGAAAGCTCCATAACATTAGTTGGGGTCACAAATTTTACTCGGTTGAGGTCCAAAAAACAACAAATATGCACATATATAAGTAAAAATATTTTTAAATAAAAAAATAGTAGAGTGGGCCTGGGCCCACCCTGGTCCTTAGGTGGCTCTGCCATTGCTCAGCTTGTGATGACATGTGTTGAAGTTTCATTAATAAACTTCTAGGTTTGTTAGGTTTTATAAGCAATTACAGGGAGTCTCGTTATAGCCTTGTTGATCGATTTATCGTCATGAGATGGAGTATGGTTTCTTGAGTCTTGGGCTTTGGGGTATATTTATGTATGCATGGTGTCAAGCCTATTCTCCTCAACCCTGTAGTCGAGTAGAATGGGCTACATGGTGAGGAGAACGGGCTTGACACCATGTATGCAGAAATATACCCCAAAAGCCCAAGACTCGGGAAACCATACTCCACCTCACGAGGATACATCGATCAAAATGCTAGTAGATAGTATATTATGATAAAGTTTGGCAGAAAGAAAAATAAGAGAGAATTCAGAGTACTTGGGATGAGACATGAGAGTACTATCTAAAATGCATGCATTTATGCGTATAAATGAAAATATTGCATGTGATGTACTTACCTGTTGCCTAAAAGAGCATGAAGTTGAATGATGGTTTGGTCTTCCTGCAAACTGAAGTTTCCCCTCTTAATATCGGGTCATAGGTAGTTTCTCCATCTTAACCTGCAGCTCTTCCCACATCTTTGAAGACCTATTATTATTATATATGTTTTATTTATTTATTTTTAAAACAGGCCAAGTTCCGAAAAACCCTAGTCTTAACATTTATTGACTTCAGACCCCAAAAAAAAAACATTTATTGACTGTGTCCAAAAAGAAATATATGCTACCCAAAACAGGCTGAGAAATTGTAATTGATTGGAAAGCTATGAAAGAAGAGTTAGTTATAGAAATTGACCAGCTTTCTGAGGCAAGGATTGCCAATTTCCATGACCATGTTTTTGAACGAAAGCTAATATCATGGAAAACAAAGAAGCAGAATGTTGTCTCACGCTCTTCAGCCGAAGCCGAATATTGAGCCATGGCGCATGCAACTTGTGAGATAACTTGGTTGAGATACTTGTTACAAGATTTTCAAGTCAATATTCAAGAGCCCGCTGTTTTGCATTGTGACAAACAAGCTGCACTACACATAGCAGCCAAGTTTTTCACGAGCGCACAAAACATATCGAGTTGGACTGTCATTTGGTACGGGAGAAAATTCAATCCGGGATGATTACTGCTGCATACACGCTCTTCCCACCAGTTGGCAGACATCTTCACAAAACCACTTGGAAGAGATTCCTTCAATATGATTATTCGCAAGTTAGGAGCTCTAAACCTTCACTCTTCAACTTGAGGGGGAGTGTTACGATATCAAATCTCAATCACAGGAGTAGATTGCTGCAGACCCTTAACTGATTATGTTTCCTTCTCTAGTCTAGCAATCCCTGTAGTTTAGGCTGTAGTTATTACTTCTTTCCATATATGTTTATGTATGTAATTGTTATGACTGAATACATAAGTAATATACATCAGATTATCACTTTTCACTTATCACAAAAAAAAACCCGTCTTAAAATATATTTGTTTGAGAAAGAAAAAAGGAACTTCAATGAGTAAAGGGTTTGATACGTGAAGTATTTGTTTGAGCTTAAATCAGTAAAAGCATTAGTGAGAAGATGAAGAGTGATAATTGAAACACCCAGATTTGGTTGAAAAGATTTGACCGCTGCGGCCGAGAATGGTCTCATTCCATAACTATTTATATTGGGAGAAAAATCAATGACTGGTGTTATTCAATGTGGTATGGTTTTGAAAAAGGAGGTTTGGATACATGACATGGTGAGGTTGTGTTATAATTTCACTCAATTATTGTTGAAGAATGTGGAAATATCACATTGGAAATATAAGTGAGTAGTTCCATTACTAATAACAACGAAAACTTTTGTGATAAAACTTCACACATGTTGGGTTCAGAAACGGATCTAGGATTTCAAAATAGATTGAGTTGGATTTACCTTACAAACAAACTCAATGGTACGAGTGAATTTCATTGACAACAAAATATGATATACCTAGTAATGGGGAAATAATGAGTCGTACCCCTCAAAATGCATCTAGCAAATAAGACGTCATTTAGATTACAAACCAAACAGTCACGAGACAAACAATGCAATTTCGACATTAATTTATGCTTGTTTGCTTTCGACCCCAAAAAAAAATAATAATAAAATTGTGCTTGTTTGCAAATTGAAAGATGAACAAACTTATATCTTAGTGATTTTCCTGATCTTTCCACACATCTTGTTGTTTCCCTGAAGTTAATCCGTCGCACACAATTTTTTCTTCTTTTCACGAGAGGGATTAAGAGAGCGCCTCAGAGGTACCACAGAACCAGTTACGGTTCTACTTGCATTGTTCAGTTTTTAATTCCTTCTACGGTTTTCTAGCGTCCTCATAAAATGGTTTTTTCTTCTTCTTTATTTTGTATTATAAGTTCTAAAGTTTAGAATAATAATAAAGTTTCCGTCATGTTTCAATGTATAGATATATCATGTGTTTATGAGAACTCGTTTTTAATTATAAAGTTTAAAATGTAGCCAAGTTTTAAAGAGCCAAGTTCTTCCCTAAAATATATCTATCAATATTCCACCATTTACAAATATGATTTTATTAACTTTCTTTTCAGCTTTTAGGGGTAGCTTACACGAGATAATATTTATGCGTTTACCATTTGGCTATTGGAGTTTTGAAATAACTTCCATTTCAGTATCGCTGTTGTCTCCAAAATAAAAAATAAAAAAATCCATCCAACGCTACAACATGATTATCCAAACTCATAAACAGAAAACCAAAAATCACCATCGTAACAAAATTTCTAGCTACACCACCACCACATTGTAACATAAGATCCACAAACTAACAAATAAATTATAGGGACTCCTGGCCTGGGATATGTCTGAAACCTTTTTCAACTTCTCATTTAGAGCAAGTCCACTGTTGGACTCAAACCGGGCAAAAGGCCCACCTCGCGAGCCTAGAAGCCCTCCATCACACGATTAGGAGCCCGGGCAAGCCATGGGTTCCACCAATCCGGGCAAGTCCACGGGCAAATTCTGCCTGGGCTGAAGCCCGAAGGCGCTGACGTCAACAAGCGTAAATTCAAATTTTTTTTACTGTTGGCGTGTGAATTTCACGCGCTAATGGTAAAAAAATTTGACTTTTGCTCACTAACGTCAGTGCTGACAGAACCCAACGAAAAAATGCCACGTGACGCTTCCTGGGCACTGATAATTTTATAATAAATAGTGACACGTGGCAACCGAAAATATTATCTAAAAAGCTTATCAAAATTAATGATTTAAAGTATAAACAAAAAATAATAATAATAAATAAAGTACAATAAATAATATTTGTCATTGTCCTAACCTTTTGAGGTGGAACCAAAAAAAACAAAGCTGCTACCATTCACGTGAATAATAACAGCTTTTGTCTTGCCTTAACGATCAGAGGTAGACTTGCTCTTAGAGAGAGAGCCTTGGGCTTCTGCTCCATCGAGGAAGCCCCCCGGCCTTCCCCTCCCATCGCGTCAGAATTTATTTTCTTAATTTTGTGCTGATGAAATGGTTAAATGGTCAGAAAATACTGACATTTGGTGATGATATGATCAAATATTTAATGCTTTTAATTGGTTGATTTTTAGCGTTGTGGAGTTTCAGCTCTTCATCAAAGGATTTGAAAGCATTGATCCTACTCTCTGTCCACCAGCTGGAAAAGGACTGAGATGTCTGACAAGACATTATGTTTGTAATTCCAAAATGCAGTGATTATTATTAAATTCCAACGATTACGATCTGAAGATACTTCGAAGTATCGATATACGACAAAAAAACTTGCATGCAGCATGCCCCCTCAACTGATTACACGTGTTGTTTCAACCTGTGGTGAAACGAAATTCTACTGTACTTTAAATAATACATCAAGTTTATACACCGTTAGATGAGATCTACGGTTCACATTTATTTTCATACAGAAAGGACAAATTGTTAGATATTTACTTACACAACCTTTTCGTTCTAATTGTACACACGCCCTCTAGAATTGCATCATGGTCATGCAATTGCATGTTTGAAATGCAAACATTGAGCGTCTGTGTGCAAATAGCAATTCCACGAATGCGAGGATGATGTTTAGAAGGTAAAAATCACGTTTTAATGGTAAAGTACCAAATGAACGCCTCCATTACAATATAAACGTCACCCCTACATTCGTTGAGTAAAGAGACACGTTTGTGGGTAAAGGTAGTGAAAATACAATTTTATCATTTAAACGTTTGTTTCTATGAACGCAACAATGATGTTTGGAAGGTAAAATGCATGTTTAAATGGTAAATTACCAAACGAATGCCTCCATTATCATATAAACTCCATCCCTGCTTTTGCTGAGTAAAGAGACACGTTTGTGGGTAAAGGTAGTAAAAATTTCATTTTACCATTTAAACGTGCACTTTACTTAGCGAACGCAAGGATGATTTTTGGAAGGTGAAAATCACGTTTAAATAGTAAAGTACCAAACAAACGCCTCCATTATCATATAAACGTCACCCTTACGTTCGTTGAGTAAAGAGCCACGTTTGTAGGTAAAGATAGTGGAAAATGCAATTTTTCTATTTAAATGTGCACTTTATTCAGAGAACGCAAGAATGGTGTTTATAAGGTAAAAATCACATTTAATCGGTAAATTACCAAATGAACGCCTCAATTACCATATAAACGCCACCCCTGCGTTCACTGAGTAAAGAAACACGTTTGTGGGTAAAGGTCGTGAAAAAGACCATTTTACCATTTAAATGTGCACTTTACTCGACAAACGCAAGAATGATGTTTGCAAGTTAAAAATTACGTTCAAATGGTAAATTACCAAGGGGATTTGATTTGAGAGTTTAGGAATTTGATCTAGGATTGACAGCTCTGATGCCATGCTAAGAATGAGAATATGGTTTGAATATTTGGATGATTGTATTCTTCTCCATAAGGAGGAATACATGGGTTTATTAGTGTGCTTTACAAGGAAATAGATGCATGAATTAAATAGGACAATACCTCTTAATTATATAAGGATTGTCTACTATATTGAAAATGAAATAAATCACCTAATGAACTTAGGAAATAAATCTCCTTGATTTATTAGGTTAACTCACATCAACATATTTAACCATATACCGCTATCACATAAAGATAAGAGAGAAATCAAATTTTATTGCTTGTTACTAAGCTACAACAAAGATCCTTTTAGGGATGCAATTTTTATTAGTACAACACAGATTCGATAGTGGCATTGAGTACCAATTTACAATACCTAGCTAGTACTACATACTAATTCCCGATATCGGACAATCTTTTCTCCCTTGCAGGATTATTTCCCA